AAACAATCATGGAACATTCCACCTTTGTTTGCTCTATCATTGTCTACTTTATTTGAATTTCAACTATTTTCACTTCCATACCTTTAACTTTGAAGTAATTATCGGCTGATGATGGGCTTATAAAAGCCCGAAACATGTACCTTTAATGATATTTGATCATTTCAATATAACTTATATCACTAACTAAAAAATGGGCTCAAAGCTTCATATTCATCCGGAAAGTCTGATGATTCTTCTTTTCTTATTATTTGGCTGAATCCCGATATATTTCATATGTAATACTTAATTATTCAACACAATATTCAATACAGTTTTGAAAATATCAAAAGACCCACAACTGGAACATGAGTAATAAAACGTGCATTGTCCTTTACCTTTAGGGAATTACCGCGAAATCGTTAATACGGGGAAATTAGGTACGTATAATACTAGACAAATTTTCACGCGCTCTTTACATATAATTTATTCCGGACTCATTGTAGGTACCTCAATAATGTTCTCACTATTTAACTGATTCATCATCTTGGTTTGACATACTCAGTCTGTTTGATTTTAAACCGATTCCAAAGTGACAAAAAATAGTATTCCGTAGTACAATGTCCTGATTTTCATCAAAATTGAATTTCTTTACATCATAAATCGGTACTGATTCATACTAATGAATTTATTTTTTCACCGAAAGTTGGGTAGTTCATCAGGGATCAATTCGTCCCGATTGAGTGTGCTTCTAATAGTAGAGTAAATAGACTGGCAAAAGGCTTCTAGAATAGATTTTCGTGGGCACTTTGTTGCTAAAATGTAAAACCCATTTTTTATCATTCCGAAGCTCATTGCAATGCAAAATCACTTGGTCGTCCAAAAATCGTAGTTGGAGGGGAGTGGGGGGAGCCTTTTTTAAAAAAAAAAGCCAATTTTTTTTTTCATCGGTTTTCAGATTTAAGATTTGAGATAATCCATTCCTCAAATTTGCATACCCATCCGGATATCAGAAATATTTTTTTTCAATTTATAAAAATACGTCGCAGCATTGTTGTATATGGAGCGCCTTCACACAAAACCGCTTGCCCTGAACACCCATATTTTTAAAATCATTTAACTCGCTCTACTTCGAAAAGTATTGGGTCTAGCAAAAAAAAGCTTTCTATAAACGTTAAAGACCAAACATCAGAGAACATGTTGGTTTTTTTAGAATTTTGATTGGATAATTGGTTCACGAGAAAATTGAATAAATCGAAAGGCATGTCGCGACGAACAGCGGCGAGCGCAGAGATACGAGGAAGGGCGAGATTGCTATGCCTGTGTCAACCGAAAATCCACTCTACTGATAGCGATGTTGGTACGGTCGATTTTACCGTGACTTCACTGTTTTGTTGTAAATTCGAATGCATTGTTCTGGTAGCCCGGATTCCACTGAGATTACTAGTGATGAGTGATAAAGTTCTCGTCTATAAATCATATTATTAAAAGCGAATAATAACTTATTGGTAAGTTAACAATATTTAGAACTTACTTAGTGAGTATTATGTACAGTTAGTATTTTTTTTGTATCCTCTGGAAATGGATTCAACGAACAGCAGCAGCTCTGACAGTGAACTTGAGTCGAAAATCAAATCAAGACGTGCTTCTTTTCGTAAAACTGACAATGGACAAGACGTTTTTATTCAAAATGTGTGTCTTATTTGTTTGGAAGGAGGAAAGCTGGTTATCTCTCATGAAAAATCAAAAAAAAAACTTTCATTGAATGCACAAAAGAACGTATGACAAATTGTCATGATGACAAATATATGCGGCATATATTCTCAAAGTTTGATAATTTAGAAAACCATAGTTTTTTTAAAATGACCCAAAAACTGTTATAAATCGTATACGAGCTCAAAGAACATTGCCTCGTACAAGTCACCTTTTGATTCACAAAAATGCGTATTCTGTCAGAAGCGATCACATAATCAAAAACTAAGCCAAGTTATGACTCATAATATGCAAGTAAAAATAAGAACAATATCACGAAGTCACCCTCTGTTTTTTGCGAGAACTGGAGACAACGACTTAATTGCCTCGGAAATAAAATATCATGCCGCTTGAGTTTCAACAGAATTACGCAATCTCAATAAAAAATCGGTTAGAAATACTAATATTGAAAAAACAGACAATGAAGCATTAGAGAAACATTTTGAGGAAATGGAGAAGGGTTTGAAAAAAGGTAAAAGATACAGCACAAAATCAATTGGCGAAAGATATCGTGAAATTAGTGGCATTGACGACATGAGTGAGAAACAAATAGTAAGAAAAATTAAATACCATTTTGGGGATGATGTTGAGTAAATAAGGTCTCCTAGACAAAACGAGCCCACAATATTCTTGAAGAAGCTTTCAAAAGAACAGGCAATTGAGACAATCGTGCAAAAGTTTCAGTTTCTTTTTCATTCTCATACTTTCATTGCGGACAATAAGGTTAACAAGGTAGTACAAGCTTTCAGGAATATACTTTTTGTAGTCTCTAACATCATTTTTTTTTTAAATCGGACCCAGTCGACATCTTCTTTATCTCACCTCGGATAGTTTGGCAGATTTTTACTAGAATGTGTTTCTCCGATGCACCAAAACTGAAACTGGGACCGACAGATTCGTCGTGGTTTTGCACGATTGTCTCAATTGCCTGTTCTTTTGAAAACTTCTTCAAGAATATTGTGGGCTCGTTTTGCCTAGGAGACCTTATTGACTCAACATCATCCCCAAAATGGTATTTAATTTTTTTTACTATTTGTTTTTCACTCATGTCGTCAATGCCACTAATTTCACGATATCTTTCGCCAATTGATTTTGTGCTGTATCTTTTACCTTTTTTCAAACCCTTCTCTATTTCCTCAAAATGTTTCTCTAATGCTTCATTGTCTGTTTTTTCAATATTAGTATTTCTAACCGATTTTTTATTGAGATTGCGTAATTCTGTTGAAACGCAAGCGGCATGATATTTTATTTCCGAGGCAATTAAGTCGTTGTCTCCAGTTCTCGCAAAAAACAGAGGGTGACTTCGTGATATTGTTCTTATTTTTACTTGCATATTATGAGTCATAACTTGGCTTAGTTTTTGATTATGTGATCGCTTCTGACAGAATACGCACTTTTGTGAATCAAAAGGTGTCCGCAAGGGACGGTTTTGAAAAATATCTGCTCTATATACAAAAATCTACTGGGAAATCAGCTGTCAGTTTGTTATTTTGTGACTTGTACGAGGCAATGTTCTTTGAGCTCGTATACGATTTATAACAGTTTTTGGGTCATTTTAAAAAAACTATGGTTTTCTAAATTATCAAACTTTGAGAATATATGCCGCATATATTTGTCATCATGACAATTTGTCATACGTTCTTTTGTGCATTCAATGAAAGTTTTTTTTTTTATTTTTCATGAGAGATAACCAGCTTTCCTCCTTCCAAACAAATGAGACACACATTTTGAATAAAAACGTCTTGTCCATTGTCAGTTTTACGAAAAGAAGCACGTCTTGGTTTGATTTTCGACTCAAGTTCACTGTCAGAGCTGCTGCTGTTCGTTGAATCCATTTCTAGAGGATACAAAAAAAATACTAACTGTACATAATACTCACTAAGTAAGTTCTAAATATTGTTAACTTACCAATAAGTTATTATTCGCTTTTAATAATATGATTTATAGACGAGAACTTTATCACTCATCACTAGTAATCTCAGTGGAATCCGCGCTACCAGAACAATGCATTCGAATTTACAACAAAACAGTGAAGTCACGGTAAAATCGACCGTACCAACATCGCTATCAGTAGAGTGGATTTTCGGTTGACACAGGCATAGCAATCTCGCCCTTCCTCGTATCTCTGCGCTCGCCGCTGTTCGTCGCGACATGCCTTTCGATTTATTCAATTTTCTCGTGAACCAATTATCCAATCAAAATTCTAAAAAAACCAACATGTTCTCTGATGTTTGGTTTTTAACGTTTATAGAAAGCTTTTTTTTGCTAGACCCAATACTTTTCGAAGTAGAGCGAGTTAAATGATTTTAAAAATATGGGTGTTCAGGGCAAGCGGTTTTGTGTGAAGGCGCTCCATATACAACAATGCTGCGACGTATTTTTATAAATTGAAAAAAAATATTTCTGATATCCGGATGGGTATGCAAATTTGAGGAATGGATTATCTCAAATCTTAGATCTGAAAACCGATGAAAAAAAAAATTGGCTTTTTTTTAAAAAAAGGCTCCCCCCACTCCCCTCCAACTACGATTTTTGGACGACCAAGTGATTTTGCATTGCAATGATCTTCGGAATGATAAAAAATCGATTTTACATTTTAGCAACAAAGTGCCCACGGGATAGCACGATAGGATCCCGTTTAAACTCTACTATAATTTTCAAAGTAAATGAGCTATAACTTTTCAATTACGAACACACCGATATGAAATCATGTGAAATCTCAACCTACTAGTGTGACGTCAGCATCGAAGTAGAGGGGATAGACTACGGCCCGGTGAGATAGAGTAGGCCCTGTATCACATTCTGATGACGGACAAGAGAGTTGCTCAGCTTTGGTTCGTGTGGCTTGGTTGAAATCTCTGTTTGTAGTAATGAAATCATCTAACAGACTGAATAAATAAATGCATAAATAAATAAATAAATTATAACAAATATTTCGGAAAATGAAATGATGTGAAAGCTCAACCTACTAGTGTGACGTCAGCATCGAAGTAGAGGGGATAGACTACGGCCCGGTGAGATAGAGTAGGCCCTGTATCACATTCTGATGACGGACGAGAGAGTTGCTCAGCTTTGGTTCGTGTGGCTTGGTTGAAATCTCTGTTTGTAGTAATGAAATCATCTAACACAGACTCAATTATAACAAATATTTCGGAAAAAGAAATGAAATCATGTGAAATCTCAACCTACTAGTGTGACGTCAGCATCGAGGTAGTGAGGATAGACTACGGCCTACGGCCCGGTGAGATAGAGTAAGCCCTGCCCAAACTCACCCTCATTCTTCTCCTCCTCCTGGATGATTCTCAACAACTTGTGTGGCTCCTCGAACACCCTCCTCTTGTGGACCTCATCGATCACCAAACGTGTCCTGCTCGCCACTCTATCCGAGATGAAATCCATCTGGGGAGGACCTCCCTCCGACGCCTGCGCTCTCGATGGGGCTGTAGACTCGACGATCTCCGTGGTCACGTCGTTCTCTTGCTTGTGGAACACTCGCACCGGGTGGTCGCCCATAACCTTAATATTAAAAGGAGGAAGGAAAGCTCAAAGTCATCTCCACAACTTTAATAATGATTATGCAGGGTGTTTCATAATTGAATGCTGATCCTAAAGGGCGATAATCCTTGGATGATTTTAAGAAAAATTCTTCATGTGAACATAGGTCCGTAACAGCTTCGTTTCAGAGATACAGGATGTTGAAATTTAACAAAAAAATCAGTTATTCCCCAATATCTCGGAAACCGCTCTGGCTTTTTTCTTCATTACAAAAACTTAAAAATAAATACCATAAAATTATAAAAATATTGCTTAGATCTTTTTCTTACCACAATTGTGAAATTATGACTAAGAGTAAAAATCGAATAGGGACAAGCAAATGAATGCATTTTATTTTCTAACTCAATAACCGTTGGCGGACGAAAAAAAGACAAGAGACCATTTTTATGAGAAGATAGAGGATGATTACAAAATAAATATTTATTTGGAAAAAAGACAGTGGCGTATCATTATTTTAATGAAAAATATGACAGGGTATGTTAACAGGGACGCCACTGATGGAAATTAAGAAATCCTTTATTATGGAAAAAATGTATTTCTATTCATACTTGGCATGTACCAAAATTGAAGAAAAAAGCCTGAGCGGTTTCAGAGATATTGAGGAAAAACTGATTTTTTTGTTAAATTTCAACATCCTGTATCTCAGAAACGAAGCTGTTACGGACCTATGTTCACATAAAGAATTTGTCTTAAAATCATCCAAGGATTATCTCCCTTTAGGATCAGCATTCAATTATGAAACACCCTGTTAATAATATACAGGGTGTGTCAGAATTAGCCTGCCAAACTTCACCAGCGACTTTAAGGACCAAAAATAGAAAGAAAACTTTCAATGAACATGAGTCGAGAAATGCCTCCTGAGGGGGCAACGGTCCGCTGAAAGGGGGCTCCTGAAGATGATATTTCTAGAGTATTTCCGAAACTCCATGTGATAAAAAGATGCAATTTGGTACAAGAACTAAACTTTCCATCCATAATGCAGTGAAAATAAAATTATTTCAATCAGGAGTGTATAATACAGGGTGGGACTACATTGAATATTGCTCAAAATTTATTGTATTTATATTTTTCGACAATTTAATCTCGAATTTTGAAATTTCCACCTCTTTACAAAAAAAGGTACTAATGTTCCGTGACGATCAGATGTATTGTTATCGAATAAAAGCAGTTTAAAAATATTGTTACATCTCAGATATTATGCATAACATTGCAATGAGACGTAGTGGAACTGGAAAAAAATGCACAAGAATTGAAATAATTTTTCCATCATCATTTTTCTATTTTTCGTGTTTTATTAGATTGTTTGATGAAAAGAAAGTAGTTGATTTTATTTTAACCACTATGATTTGAAAATTGGCAACGTTATGCATAAGATGTGAGAGCATCATTATTTTTAAATAGATTTCACTCGAAAATGATACATCTGATCGATGCGGAACAAGAGCACCTTTTTTGTGAAACGGTGTGGATTTTCATAATCCGAGATTAAATTGTTGAGCAATATTCAACGTATAATACACTCCTGGATGGAACCCTGAAATGATTTTATGTTCACCGCATTGGACATGAAATGTTTATTTCCTGTACCAGATTACATCATTTTATCACGTGGCGTTTCGGAAATATTCAAGAAACATCATCTTCAGGAGCCCCCTTTCAGGGGGCCGTAGCTTCCTTAGGAGACATTTCTCGACTCAAGTTCATTGGAACTTTTCTTCCTATTTTTGGTCGAAGAAGCCGCCGGTGAATACTGGCAGGCTAATTTCGGGACACCCTGTATAATGAATTTAATGATGTAGTCAATCGAAGGGACATGTTTCGGACTTATAAAAGTCCATCTTCAGCCGTATTTTAAAAGTTAATGGAGGTGAACATTATGTTTTCAAAAAGGAAGCCGATGTCTGTCATAATATCGTGATTGATAACAAATAAATTTTTGTATGAGAATAAACGGGTTTTCATTAAAAATGAAGGGCCCCGTGCCCTAAGAACACGCACTTATGAAATCAAAAGTGTAAGTGTTAAGTTGATTTACTATTATTACTACCACCGCAAATCGTAAAAAAACTGCCATAATTAATCAACACCATAAATTCCATTTCTTTTCCTGCCATTCATCCACTCACTCTTGACTGAGAAAAAAATAAAATGAAGCTCAATTTCCTAAATGTAAATGGTCCTGCTGAAGGACTTCAACAGTACAGGTACTCGTACCTAGGTTGTATCCTCCCAGCAGAATCATCACTTGAAAAAAAATGTAATTAACTGTTACTTATACATTAAACTTAATTATGCAATTATGTGTAAAAAAAATGATATGTATGGGGTGTAGGAATAAATTTTGATTTGATTTTTGATTTCTATCGGCCTATTTTGGTCTCTAGTTCTAGAATTCATGATATGTTGTTCTGTGATACCTTGTATATCATGAGATCAAAGGTTCATCACACGCGGCTGGAAATTGATACCTTTGCTCCCTTGATACACAGGGTGTTTCTTAAGTACGTGTAGAATATTCAGGAGCTTGTTGCTGGCGTCAAAATATGAAAAGTTCGGAAAAATATATGTCCAAAAGTTATTCGGTTCTGAGATACAGAGTGTAAAAGTTGAATTCTTATTTTTGTTTTTTGTTAATACATTTCAATATAATTGTGATATTCGGATAAAATTCGGTATCTTGGGGTTTTTTTCAATGACAATATCAAATTTTCTGTTATGTTGTCTCTTTCGTGGGGGTGGCGCCCCCTACATGTCTTTTGAGTCTTTTGGAAAGTCATAACTTTTTTGTGCGTACCTGTATCAGATTATATAGTAAAAAAAATTTGCAGTTAGAAAATGGTGATATATCAAAATGTGGTTAGTGACGTACTCCAAAAAAGTTACATTATTGTTTATCAAAGAGAATGCGCAATATCGAACTCTCTGTATATTGATTGAAATGGTAGGACAAATTTTCCATGCACATTCCCTATAGTAAATTGCCCTACGAAGTTGAAAACAGTACCTTTCAAGAACTTCGAAATATTGAAGAAGTTTATTTCAATCGGCCTATTTTGGTTACTCGTTCACCCTGTGGAATTGTACGTTGTTCTGAGACACCTTGTATATCATGGGAGCAAAGGTTCATTTTCTCCCATGTGTGTTTAAACTTCACACGCGGCAGAAGTTTGATACCTTTGCTCCATTGGAATATAAATAGCTATTATCTACCTCTGATGACGTCATGGATCGCTTCGACTTCGGGATGGCGATGCGGCAGGGCAGGTTGCGCGCGCTGCTTTTCAAGGCCGTGGTGCCTTTCACGGTGATTTCCCTAAACATTGCCTTCAGTAGGATTATTTTTGTTATAGGATCGTATTCCATTTTGGAGGAATAGAAATCTTCGAAGTTTGTAAAAGTGGCTGGTTTCAGGTTCGAAGGAATTATTTCTTTGAGTATTTTGTTGATGTCGAAGCGTCCAATAGTAGAGAATAATTTGTAGGTTAGGTTGATGTAATCTCTTGGGAAAGTGAGATTCAACTGCGTTGCCTCATGTTTTAGATCGAGTTGTCGTGTGAAATTCGGAATTAAAAATGGGCAAGTCATTATTTGCGGTGCTTGTACTTTGATAAGCCTGGGAGTCATTTTAGGTAGTCGTGTTTCCAGTTGATTAAGCGAAGAAATTTGCTTTTCATCTCCAACTTCTGCTTTGATTTGTTTGTTTTTCAATATAGCAGCTCGTTGCCTTTCAATCATTTTTGCTGTTATACTAGAAGTGGAGTGTGAAGAACTTTCAATTGGTTGCGAATCCACTTGTTCACTCTTTTGCAAACTTTTTGCTTTGTAGCTGAAAAAATAATACTAAATTAATCAATATTGTAAAAAAACTTACTTCCGAAATTTAAATCAGTTTTCAAATTGATAGAAAATATATGTAGGACATTTCATTGGAAGTGGAACGAACTTTTACTGTGGATGAGAGAAATAAATTACATCAGAGTATTAGAAACGAGTATCTGGGTGAATATGACGTGATCACCTATATGTATAGCGAAATATTGAAACGAAAAATAGTAGGAAGAGGCAACAAAGTGGAATAAGATAAAGAGATTTCGATGAAAGTATTTTGAAAAAATCATAGAGTATATAGTTCATATTGCCTTCTTGATGAACATTGCCTTTAGTAAAAATAGTTTTTTTCATAGGTATTCGGTCTCGAAGGAATAGAAAACTTCAGGACTTTTTTTATGTTCTGGTTCCCACGAAAAGGGATATCCTGTAATGTTCAGAGAACATCGTGAGAACCAAGGGAATTATTTTACTCGGGACTTTGTTGGTATCAAAGCGACCATTATTATCGAAATGTTTGTAGGTTAGCTCGAAATTATTTCTTGGCAAGGTTAGACGGAACTGTGTTGCCTCATGTTTTATATCGAACTTTCGTGAGAAATTCGGAAATAGTATTTGCGGAGTTTTGGAGATGTCTTCGCAAGTCGTGTTTCCAGTTGATTCAGCTAAGAAGTTTGTTATCTTCAACTTCTGCTTTGATTTATTCATTTTTCAATATAGCAGTGCGTTGCCTTTCGATCATTTTTGCTGTTACAATAGAAGTGACGTTAAAAGAAGTTTCAACTGTTTGCGAGCCCACTTGTTTATTCCTTTGCAAAGATTTTGTTTTGTAGCTTAAAAAATAATCCTGAAGATTTAAAGTAAACAAGATTGTACCAAATAGAGTTAATTACAGAATCTTAGTTTTCAAATTGATGGAAAATCAATGTGGATTTAATTGAAAGAGGGACGAACGGTTACTGTGAATGAGAAAAAAAAACTATCAAAGTATAAGAAACGAGTTTCTGGGTGAATGTCACGTGATCATTGATATAGCGACAAATTGAAAAAAAAAGTATGAAGAGGCATCAAAGTAGGGTTAGATAAAGAGATGAAGGTATTTTGAAAAAGTTGTTGAGAATTTAGTCCATAGTGCCTTTCATGGTAATCTTGCTAAACATTGCCTTTAGTAGCGTTAGTTTCGTTTTAGCATGGTGTTCAGTCATGGAGCAATAGAGAGCTCCGAAGTTTGTAGCAGGCTGGCTTCAGATTCGAAAGATACAGTGTGACCCACTTCTAATGGAAACACCCCTGTATCTTACGTAATCGTTGGGTAAGGATCCTGAAATTTGCTGGAGCGAGAGATATACCAAAAATGCACTCTATGACCAAGCTGGGTCATCTTCAGTGATATACACTGCTCGCCAACAGCCATGGAACCACCCTAATTTTCGGAAAATGATATTAGGAGTGAAAATAGGTTGAAAATCACCTCGGATTCGAAATCAGGACTTCACTAACTATTCATAGTTTTCCTAAAAAAATTTCAGCTCAGAAAAAATAAATTTTGTCTCACTTCTCATGGAAGCACCCCCGTATCTCACTCAATTATTGAGGTAGGGTTCTGAAATTTGCAGGAGGAAGGGAAAGTCCAAAGATAAAGTCAATTACTTAAGATACGGGGGTGCTTCCGTAAAAAGTGCGACAAAATTTAATTTTTTAGAACTGAAAATTTCCCAGGAAAAATATGAATAGTTAGTGAATTGGGCGTCCAGATTCCGAATCTGAAGTGATTTCCGACCTACTTTGACTCCTAATATCATTTTCCGAAAATTGGGGTGGTTCCATGGCTGTTGGCGAGCAGTGTATATCACTGAAGATTACCCCACTTGGTCATAGAGTGCATTTTTGGTATATCTATCGCTCCAGCGAATTTCAGGATCCTTACCTAACGATTACGTAAGATACAGGGGTGTTTCCATTAGAAGTGAGTCACACTGTATATTTCGATGAGGATTTTGTTGATGTCGAAGCGTGAAATTAATTTGAACTCTTAGACTCCATATCTGCAAGTTGCTGAACTAGGAATATCCTTCTTCCTGAAGCAGGAAGATCACTAACTTTGATATTCTGAAGAAATATTCCAATCCGGCCCTGATGTGACATTTCTACTCAACAAAAAGTAGTCCATCTTGTCGCCACCTACTGTATAGAATTGTAAGTTCCAGTGCTTTCATAAGGATGGTACATCTTGTTTGTGTAAAATGTAAATAATCAAGGGTTCGACCTTTGATAACTAATAACTAACATTTATTTGTGAATATGAAATTCGAGATCCACCATTGGGATTTCGGAAACTATAGGAGATACAGAGATGGCTGAATTAGGGTAGAGTTGCGAATCAATGTGAATGAAAATGTCTGTCGAGTACAATAATTTGAAATTACGAGTATTTCCGGAGAAATACGAAGAATCAGAAAGTTTGTTAGATCATTTATATATTTTTTGCGTTATTTGTCGAAGCATATCAAAATAGAAAGCACATTTACATTGCCACTTTTCCCTGCTATAAGATGACGTTTTCAGATTCACTATCCGACGTTTCGACTTTACGCTACCATCATCAACTTGAGGTTTTTTTATGAAGTTATATTCTTAATAATAGCATGGTGAATCTGAAAATGTCACAGTATAGCAGGAAAGAAGTGGCAATTTTGAAATTCTCCAACAAATAAAAAACTTTTTTTTGTATAATACTGCATACTTTTATTATTCTCGATGTTTTGGGATTTTCTCTCCTCGTTTCTATAAAATGAAAACACGAGTATTATTTCAATATACCTGTAGTGAGGACAAATCAGATGCTTTGCCAAAAAAATGCCACTGCGTTTAAAAATTTGCCTATCAAAGATCCTAAAAGAAAAATTCGGTTCCTGGTCCTTGACAGTTTGTTTTGAAAAAGGTTTGGAAAAGAGGAATATATATATAGAAAATATATCGAATTTTCACTCAACTTTGGACGTTTTGGGAACTAATCTCCTCCCGTTTTCAAGATAAAAAATGGAAAATATTTTTCTTACGAAATGTCTCCAGGTTTTGAAACTTTTCAGTGACAAATGGTAATGTTGGCAAACAAATGAGTTACAGGATGTTTTCATTGATTAATCCTGAATTTACCATTTTCAAGTTCAGATTTTAGTAGTGGATACAATGTTGTATATCAACAGAACAGGAAACAATGCTATTGTCTCCGTTCAGAATGATGCAAGCGGATTCCTTGATTTTTCTCTTTTGGTTATCTCTTTTTCCAATGATTTTGATATCATTCCACTCTGCCATATGTTATCCATCTTCATATTTTTAGTCGAATAAATGCGCAACTTTGGCCTAATTTAATCATCTTTGTATCTCGTATAGTTCTCGAGATCGAATTTGAATTACCAACTATACTTACACCATGGACCGTTGTCTTCCTATGTCGACTTTCTCAGCACCTATGACACCTTTGGATGTCAATTTTTTAAGGGCCATTCGACACGAGTTCCTATCGACTCCAACCATTTTGTTCAGTTCAAATAGAGAACATCCTGCGGCACCCTTCGAATATATGTGGTAATAAAGTTCCTTCAAAAATTCCATGTTGTTGAACGTGCTTCCGATCATCTTATCTTCCTCCTCTATAAAATATCATAATTGATTGTACAAAGAGCAAAAGTGAATTCTAGAGTTCCCTAGGGTCCCTTGATGCAAACTGACGTATTTGTCATCTAACAGAGTACGGACAGATCATAGCTCCTTTCTCTTTTGATCATCTAGTGACTTTGGTTTCGTGTATTGGCGTCCCTGATATGACATTGCTGTCACGTCACATTCATAGGCGTTGAAAGAGATCTTACAAAATCTTAATTGCATACTTCATCTTAAAATGACATTATTCAATTCTATTTTGGAAGGATGGTAAAATGTGCTGCGTTAGACTGTATCAATCAGTTGGATGGCAAATTTAAATTTGTCAGCTTTCCATCAAATGCAAATGAAAGAACAAGGAAAGTCAGTGACCGAAAATTGGTAAATACATCAGCAAAATATTCGAGGTAAAACCAATACGAAATCACATATTAAACGTTCTCATTGTACCTATAATTATCCACTCCACAAGTTTTTGAATGCATTTTAGTAGAAACAGTTTTGATTGAAACGAAGGATTAAAAGAAGAGGCGCATGCCCTACAATTTAAAAAATTATACCTACGTTCAGGAAATATCAAGTGTTCGTGAAAAACTGCAAAAATGATTCCCAACATGAATATTCACAGCACGCATGACATATGAGCACATTAGTTTGAATACCTACATACAATTTTTCACCATTTCTCAACCATAAGGCTAAGTCTGAAATCAAAATTCATTTATTGATAGGTACTACCTAAGATTATGCTGGAGTTGAAGAATCAAAAACTTGAAAATTATCATCATCATTTGGATATAATATGTAGAGTTGAATGAGAAATTACATGTGGAAATTACGTATGATACGCCAATGTCCTCAATATAACCTAAAAAACCACAAATGTCAGAAATCTAGTGTTTATCCCCAGAAATGAATGAAGATGAAACTATATAATTATTTCACAAACACTTTAGAGTGAGAGAAAACAAGGATCTGCTCGTACCCTTTTAAGATGACAAATACGTCAATTTACATCAAGGGACCCTAGAGGTCCCTAATGGGTTTTACGTATTTGATTTGACGTTTTTGTATATTTTTATAAGAACGAATTGATCATTAATATAGCAGGTACTAGTTGCTTCATTTGCTTCATTACGTGATCAGAATGGGGTTGTACACGCTAATCTAATTCACGCCAAAAACCTCCATATTGATAATTCCGTGTATAAACAGTATTTGATGCAATCATTCGTAATTTAAATTCATCGATAATAAATTTTTGTCAATAATGAAATTCGGCACCTTCGAACTTTTAATAGCGTCATGTACCGAACCGAAAGTCATAGTTATCTGAATTCTGGCTTTCGCATAAAAAGTAGGTCAACATATTTCGACGCTACCAGATTTGTAACTAGTAATTGTTCTCTAATAATCACTTATTGATGCTTAAATACCTGCAAGATGCTCCAGTAACAATAACAATATCCTAGTGATCCTGATAATGATCGAGGTTTTATTTGAATTATTTAGTGGCCCTGGGACCGTATTGCCTAGAGTTCCCAGAAATACAAGAAGAGAAAAAGATGGACTAACAAAACAAAATATATCAGCATATTTGATGATCAATATTTTGTCATCAAAACAAAAAACTGCTAATAAAATCAATTTAAAAAAGTAATCAAGTAGGTTATGATATGACAGCGTCGTTTGTGAAGTTTTTACATTAATAATTATGGTATTAAACATTATAACAAACATGAATGAAATGGGACAAAATGGTATCACAAACATAGGATAGTGGTTCGCACAGCGTGAAAAACTATGTATGTATAATTCATTGCAGTATGTCATAATACTACTGTAGGTTATAGTATGCCTTCTGCAATAATGCCCGTTTCAATTCATATTTGAATATCTTCAGACAATTGATCTTCTATTGGCAGATAATTATACGGGTGATTCCGGTTTCAAGGTACAAACTGAAATGGGTGATGAAGCAAATCATTTTGATTAAAAATGTGTGCATAAATATGCGTCCGATCTCGATCAGTATCGGAGTTACAGGGGGTCAAAGTTTAATAATTGTTTTCTATTAATTGAGATATCTCGCTCACTTCTAAAAGATATCAATTTGAAATTTGGTGCGGTCAATACTTTCTAGAAGATCATCATATGCAATATTTCAAAGACTTTTAAAATCCACAGGATGATACGTTTTTGAGGGTAGAGGCTTCATTATTCCCCACAAATTATTTTGTAGTAGGTGTCTGACATCTTCCAGTTACCAAATAGGGTACATCGTTCAATTTAAAGACTTCATCTGCATCTGAATTTTTTTCGAGACACGCACCGTTTTCGAGATAAATAAGCATATCCGTGCAATAACATGTTAATTTTGCCTATTATGATTCGCTTAATGCAATAAAATGTAGCAAATTTCAATCTGAATCAGAAGCAGGGATATAGGGAATAAAAGGTTAGGTTGTTTTTAACCGAGCAAACCCACGACGACGCGGAAAATTCGTGTTGAGCCACTGGTTGAACCCCATCCAGTTGAATCCATATTCCTCATCAAATATCTTTTTTAATATCATTTATTTCGAAAAATCAAAAAATAAAATAGCATTCAACTTGCCCGGAAGAATCTTCTTGCAGAATGTGATTATTTTTTTGTGCATTCTTATTGTTAACTAATTTTGTACAAGAATGAAAGAGAAAAATACAAATAACATTAACATGTTTTAGAACGGATATGCTTATCAATCTCGAAAACAGTTCGTTTCTCGGAAAAAAATTGAGAAGCTATAAAAGCCTCTAAATTGAACGATCCACCCTATTTGGTAAATGAAAAATTTGAGAGGCGTACTACGAAAAAGTTTGGGGGAATAAAGCAGTCTATACCTTCGAAAACGTAGATTTAAAAAATCTCTAAAACGCTTGAAATGATGAATTCCTATAAAGTATTACCCACACCAAATTTCTACAGAAGTAGGCGAGATATTTTAATTAATGGGAAAAATTGATAAAACTTTGACCCCCTATAGATCCGCTACTGATCGATATCGTTAATAGAAACTTTCTTGATTGTAATGATGAGATCTACAGGGTGATTCATAGAAAATGTGCATAGAGTGATAGTAGATGAAGGACACCGAGGTGCTTCTGAATAATCTATATTTCATAGGTCTATCATTCTTTGAGTAAGATACAGGGTGATTTATTAATTTTCCCCATTCTTTCAATTAATCATAACATGAACCACCCTATACATTTTTTTGATATTTGGTTTGCATGTTATTTGTCCATAGTGGTGACGATTGACATAATGAAAAAGTCTTATTCCAGGGCCAGATTTGAAAAAATGAATAAAGAGGTCTTGAGTTGAAACAACAACCTGTATACCAAGGTTATACCTATTAATTTCAGTCAAATCTAGAGGTTTCAATGAGGAGGTGGCACAAAATTTGAAAAAAAAAATAATTTGTCGTCCACAAATGGAAGTTTTGCATTTTGTTTCCATAAAGTCATCAACTATTTCTTATTCTCCTAATTTTTGGGTCCTGACCCAATTGAAAAACTAGAAAAAAATCCGTATTTGGGATGAATTATTATTATCAATGACTAACTTTAAATGCCCTGTGTATGTGTATGTGTAAGAACATTATCATAATATTTGTTTATCGCACTACATTTAAAACAACAATTATGAAAATGAAGAACAATGCCCTTTCCGAAAAAATCATAACTTTGTTTTACACAAAAATAAAGTTGTCACATATCTACATTTCAAAAGTTAAACAGAAAATAAAAAAACTTGAATTTTCTTTATCCTTGTGTTATTATTTTTTTAGCTTGAGCATGATCAGTCTGTACATACACATTCGGTTTGATATCCCATCAAATCGTTGTAATTGTCAAGTTGGCAGATGTTAGAGTACAATGTTGACGTAGTTGATGAGTTTGCACTTTGTACTTGTGTTTTGTGTTGTACACAAATTTGATAATAATGAACATGTGGTATGTCTAATAATCTATCCCAAATACGGGCATGTCCTCTCATTTTCAATTAGATTGGGATCCAAGCATCAGGAGAATGAGAAATAGTTGATGATTCTATGGATCATAAATGGAAAACAAATAACTTTTTTTTGTGCCACCTCATTATTGAAACCTCTAGATTTGACTCATGTTGATAGGTAAAAATGTTGTATGCAGAAACACCAAATACAATCAGTCTTACTTATTATTTCCTGCTCTTCCCAATGTTGCAAATGAGATTTCAAATTATTGATATTCAGGGGGTTGTTTCGACTCGAAATCTATACTTATCAATTTTTTCAAGGCCGGCCCTGGAATAACAAACCAAATATCAAAAAAAATGTGGTTATGTACACAAGCTATGAATTAATTGAAAAAATGGGGGAAATCAATAAATCACCATGTATCTTGGTTATAGAGAATGAAAGACCCATGAAATATGGATTATTCAGAAGCACCTCAGTGTCCTCCATCTAAACGTACTGTATGCACATTTCCCAATGAATCACCCTGTATCACCCATTTCAGTTTGTACCTCAAAACCTGAATCACTCTGTATGTTTTTTTTGCTCTAATATACAATATGGTGGAAATGTATGGAATAAATTCATTATCTCTAACGCATATGAATTTGAAGAAAAATCCTGAGACAGGTCGATTTTTAATTTAAAATTGACACCTCTTGATACACATACGGAGTTTGTAACGTCATCCGCGTAGTTGTGGTGACGTCATCGATTATTTTTTTTAATGGAAACATCCCTTTTTCGTCGTGGCATATAGCCAGGAAAGTAGTTGTTTTCTATTGAATAAACTGAAAAGGAGTAAATATTCTCATCACATAGAGAATGCGAATTCTCAATGTATTGCTTTATATAAATATATATCCATTTTTGTATTTTCATAATTCATCTGATAATATTCCTTTTCAACAATATCATAATTATACCCAATCAGGGGGTTCAAACTTGAACGATTAGTAGAAGATCCGAACCTAAATCGACCTTCACCGAGCTGATAATAGAACGAAATATATTTTATCATGAATTTAGTATATTAGAAAACATATTAAAAATGGGTTGGCTAAAAAAATCCTGGGCAGACTATTTTTAATTATTTTTCGAAAAATTATTTTCAATTAAATGTTGCAACATCAGGATAATAAAAAAATTGTGTGCAGCCGTTGGGTTGTCTACTATTTACCTGGGCGAACTACTGGGTTGTCAGGTAAACACAGGTATATCGATGCCAGTTACTTTCACTGGATTGGATAATTTAAAAAAATTTATATCATCATAAGCGCTGTTTAATTGCGAACACGTTGATATAGGGTTGTCTGCGAAAATTCCGGTCCTATTAGGGGTTTGCGAATTTTAAAGATTTTAATTTCAACGCGCGTGGAAGTGTGTGACAGAGAGATCCGAGGTAAGTATACTGTGTAATAATAAAGGACCCAACATCGCAGTCGCTTGTGATGGGACCCTGAATAGTAGAAAGTGCGCATGCTCGGTGTGTAAACTATGGAGGGTAGAGGTACCTCTACTACCCTTTATATAGTAAACAGTGCGTGTTATTTTGGAGCAACTGATATTTCAGTAGCAAAAAAATAATAATTAATTAATTACATAATAATTAAATATATTTAATATAATACTAATATATAAAAACAATATAATATCAATATATTGCGTTATAACCATAATGATATATCTATAATCTATAATAGACAATAAAAATATCAAATACTTACTTTGAATTTTTTTTGCTCTTTCTGGAAATAGAAACAAAGTGGACCGCCAAAAATTTAAATTAAGAAATAACAAAAAAGATAGACTAGACATCTTGTATTACGATTTAAAATTATATTAAAAAACAGTATAAATACAAAAATAATATTAATGAAAAATAAATTCTAATAAATATTTTCTATTCAATATCTGATTCATCAGAAGTATCATTTTGACTCTCGAATTCGTCTGATTCATTAGATTCTTCCTCATTTGCTTCCATTTCGACAATGTCCTGGATTTTCAAAGGAGTTTGATCTCCGATAAAACCTGTTGGTTTTAAGAAATCATCAAAATGCCAACCATAGTTTTCAGGATTTGACTTCGCACACTTCGCACACTTTCTACTATTCAGGGTCCCATCACAAGCGACTGCGATGTTGGGTCTATTATTACACAGTATACTTACCTCGGATCTCTCTGTCACACACTTCCACGCGCGTTGAAATTAAAATCTTTAAAATTCGCAAACCCCTAATAGGACCGGAATTTTCGCAGACAACCCTATCTCAACGTGTTCGCAATTAAACAGCGCTTATGATGATATAAATTTTTTTAAATTATCCAATCCAGTGAAAGTAACTGGCATCGATATACCTGTGTTTACCTGACAACCCAGTAGTTCGCCCAGGTAAATAGTAGACAACCCTTCGATCATAAAGTTCGGAGAGACAACCCAACGGCTGCACATTCTATACGTTTTATACTTTCAGTCAGGACACAATTTTTTTATTATCCTGATGTTGCAACATTTAATTAAAAATAATTTTTCGAAAAATAATTAAAAATAGTCTGCCCAGGATTTTTTTAGCCAACCCATTTTTAATATGTTTTCCAATATACTAAATTCATGATGAAATATATTTCGTTCTATTATCAGCTCGGTGAAGGTCGATTTAGGTTCGGATCTTAGACTAGATGGAAACTTATGATTTTTATTGACCTCTAATAGCAGATTCGTGATAGAGTCTCAATTCAGAATTTCTTTCCACGCCCTGTATGATGAATGTCAATTTATCATACACCCGAAAGCATCCCCTTTTTATTCATTTATTCGAAAGGTATATTCATCGTCTATCCAACCATATACTGATATTAGCAGAATAGAGTAATACAGGGTGAGAACAAATTATTAATTATTTTATATTCACAACGGAAACAATTACAATTAATGAAAAATTCAACCATTATACATCAGAAACAATGTGTGTCGTCATTCACATTGTATCATTGCAGAAGGTCACCAAATCGAACATTTCCACCATACTGTATGACAGAGTTTTTTGTCAGATTAGACTTAGGTATTGGTAAAGGAATACAACCTTCATTTCTTGTTTGATAGTTCCGTTTACTCAGAGTCTCACCATATTACACATGAATGAAGCTTGCAGTTTTCAAAATAAATAAGCAAGTCATTGATATATAAATAGAGATTTGCAATGTGTAACTCGTCAACCTCACACAAAATGACGCGCTTCCTAACTGGTTATGTAAACCCCATTACCGCTTTTCTCCATATTATTGTGGTATTTTCGGTACATTTTTGTATTTGATCTCGTTGTTCAATATGCAATCTATTATATTCATACCTTCTTCGTCTTCATCGGAATCGTCATTTTCATGGCTCCATGTGGCTATTATGTTGATATGAGGGTTCTTCAATTCGTAACATCTCAACATTTTTTCGGTCCGGGTGGATTTTCTCAAATATTCCGATTTCTTCGCATTAGGATACACGAATCTGTATGGATAAAACTGAAAAACAGAAAACGGAAGATTGAGAGAATGTGTGATTACAACAATATTCTGAAATTTATATTCAGATTTCCATTGTACAGGGTGATTGATTATATTTTACTCAATAGTTATCTCAGTCAATGTTGAGGGTCTACAAAAATGTTTAAATGGGCAAAAATGAAGTATTTCTTAAGAGCATTCAGAATTCAGTACTAGGAAATGCAAAAAAGCATTCTTCATAAACTGGTATTTTTTTATGGTATACCCTGTATTTTATTTCCCTAAACGGTAGAGCTCTTTCTTCTGATTTCAATTATACATATATATTCAACATTTATTGAGATTAGTTTTAGAGTACCTTAATACATTGTCATCTGCAATATCTAACCCTAATTTGGTATCCAACATGTGAAAGAATCATAAAACCTCTTAAAATATTGCAAAGTAAAGCCATCAAGAACATTTGTTCACTTCCTTTCAGATACAGTACAGTTGATCTTTATAAAAATTATAATATTCTATATCTAGCTAAGATATATGACTATCAGGTTTATTTGTACATTCACCAGGTGAAAAGTAAAGCATGTCACTCCAATTTAACATTCAAGTTTACTTCGACAAAAAAAATCTCTCGTGTAATTATAAGTGATAATTATATCCGTTACGATTTTACATAAAATTGCCATATGGTTACATATTCCAGTAAAATAGCTCAAATCACAAGGTTTTTATAGATTGAAGGCTCTGTACTGGGACCCCTGCTATTTTTATTATATGTGAATGACCTAACACATAGAACGGCTAGGCTCTGGAATTCATTGCCTGTGGAAGTATTCCCAACAACATATAATCTCCAGAAGTTCAAAAAAAATTCCAATACCTACCTCCTGTCCCTATCCTCCCTAGGAACGCACGATGTTCTTTGAACATTATAGGGATTCTCTTTCGTGCGCTCCAAGCGATAAAAAAAAATTTTGTCGACATACATGGACAATTTACTATATTTGCAGACGATACGACCACCCTCTGGCATGGTACTGATAACGTAATTTTAGAAGACATCATCAATGAGGCCCTGAACATAGTTAAAAAATGGTGCGACGCCAACTTATTGTCTTTCAACACCTCTAAGACAGGTATAATCAACTTTAAAATCGCTATCAACAATGTATATTTCTCGATAATGACTGTTTTAGCATCAAAGCTACACATAAATTCTTGGGATTGAATATTGACGCCAAACTGAAATTTGAAAGGCACATTTTAAACTTAGCTAAAAAGCTAGCGTCTGGCTGTTATGCCGTACGAGTTACATCCAATGAATTAGGTCTAACTGCGGCAAAGAACGCTTACTACTCACTCATTGAATCGCTTCTGGGGCTGTGCGCAAACTATTTATTCGTTTTATTCTCCAAAAAAGAGCACTAAGATATATGTGCAAGTCCGTAGGACGAGTAATTTTTTCAGAGGCAGTTTTTTTCGTCAAATTGCCAGGCAACAAAATTCCTATTGATACATGTCAAGTTTACTTCGACAAAAAAAAGCTCTCGTGTAATTATAAGTGATAATTATATCCGTTACGATTTTACATAATATTACCATATGGTTACATATTCCAGTAAAATAGCTCAAATCACAAGGTTTTTATAGACCGAAAATATAACATGTTTTCAAATATTTCGAACGGCAGAATTTCCTTTATTTGAATGAAGGGCTTTGAAACAATTTCTCGTGTCAGTGAGAAATAACCTACTTTCATAATTTTCATTTTTCAGGCGACTTGACTTTGAATGATTGGTGATTCTACAGTATAAGAAATTGGATGCTCCTCGGAATGCCCACTTCTGGATTCCTTAACACATCGGGACAAACCTGCGATGATATCTAACCTGAAGTCTGTTTGCTAAGTAGTTCAGTTATTTCGGAATGGGCGAGTGGACTAATATCGAATTATTGCCATTCAATCACTCCACTGTGTTGTTGGCCGCCATTCGGCAATACGTCGAATAAATGGTCACGTTAGTTTTTATGCTGTTTCGTTATTGGTCAGGTAATCTTTGATTCCCACTTATGAAGCAAGATAGCCAAGTCACCAATTATTATAATCAAGTTATCAAAAAGATGTTCGAGTCCTGTCGTTGAATAAAACATAATTTTTTTTATCGCTTGGAGCGCACGAAAGGGAATCCCTATAATGTTCAAAGAACATCGTGCGTTCCTAGGGAGGATAAGGACAGGAGGTAGGTATTGGATGGAGGAACCAATGATATTATAGTTGATTCTTGACTTTTTTGAGCAAATATTTCTTGCACTCCAGAACAAAATATTATGTAAATGTTGGAGACTTGACAACATTGTGCTGAATGCTGAGAACTGACAAGACCAAGCCCACAAGTCGTGCGCAGTGTTGTCATGTTTACCCGAGCGTTTACCGGTTCAAATGTCCTCTAGTTAGAATAAATATTATTATTATTCACACAAATGTGTATTATAAGCAATACACCACAACACATGATTGAACATTTTGGGACAATCGATTTTTTAATGCTAATTAGGAATATCAACAATTAATACATCATTGAGAATTTATGTATTATTGAATAGCTAATATTTCAGAAGTTCCCAATCGTATTTCAACATATGGCAACTGTGCTATGGTCTGTGTCTATTTACGAAATCGTGACGTCAGTTTTTACTCGCGGTAGATTTCTAGCCGTTTGAAAATTACCCTGGCATTATTGATGATTCTGGCACCACAAAATCCACCGGAAATTTCAGAAAAAATATAAAATTGAAAGGTATTAGAGTGATGATTCTATTCAGGAAATGAAAAAAAAAATAGTCCACTCGCCTATAGTGTGATCCATTTGAGACCTGAGAAGGGGGTGAGAGCCTATACATTTCTACTAACCATAGAATGAGCAACAAACTCATCCATACTATGAATTTTTGAAAAATCCACTAAATCGAAATGCGAAATAATGGACGAAGTAACCATATGGCTACGCCCATTCACAGTCGAAAAATTGTCTCACTGAAATTAATATACAGGTGAACAAAAAACAATATACCATAACACAAATATGAAAGAAGCCAACACGAAAATTCCAATAGGAACAATCGAACTTAACACTTCTAAACATCAACATTTACACATGTACAGGGTGCGCCTCTAAAAAGGGAACCCCCCCCTTAACTCTTTTGTTTTCGGAGATATGAAAAAATGCTAAATAAAAAAGTTGTTTGAAACGACCCAAACTTTTATTTCGTGAAGTTGTTTCATATACAGGGTCATTCGTTTTTCCAGAAAGAACATTAACTTTGATTTTTTCAATAGAACACCCTATATATTTTCAAACATGTCGATAGAGTTTTTTTTCTGATTCCAAAAATATATATGAGTTGCATATTCGGATGAAGAATAATTGAGTTATTGATGATCAAAGTTGACCAAAATATACCGCTTCATGAATTCTCACTTTATATCATAGTTGAGCTCTGAAAAAATATTCCATGGAAAAGTCAATAAACTACAAATCATTATGTGGATAGATTTGGTATCACACTATAACAGTGACGTATGCGTAGATGTCGAAATAGCATCAAGAGTTCTTGACAACAAAAATTGAATGAATCTTTATAAACAATATTTATTAAATGAACTATATGAGATTGTGAATACACATTAGAGCTATCTACAACAAATTTTCAAAAATTCCGCCATTCTGGTCAATGCAGAGTTGGCACCTTGCTATAAAATTTTGGCGAACCCTTTCGAATAATATTGGATCATTATTCAATAATCGAATTTCTTCTGTTATTTTATTTTTCAAGAAGTCAGTAACTGGAATATCATGTTTTTTATAGATCATGTCTTTCAGCGCTCCCCACAGGAAATCATCACAAGACGTCAGATCTGGGCTACGGGGCGGGTAAAATATTGGTCCTCGCAACCCAATCCAAGTGTCATAACTCTCATTGAGGTAGTTCGTGACTTCAATTCCATTGTGAGGAGGTGCACCATCCAGCTGCCATACCAATTGGTTTCGTCTATTCAAAGGGATTGCTTCATCAAGCAAGTTCTCAATATCACCTTGCAACATATCCAAATATTTTTGCCCCGTAAGACTGCCATCAATGAAGATGGGACCAATTACTTTAGTGTTATAAACACTGCACCAGACATTCACACTTCTCCGGCCTTGTTTTTTAATCGGTTTCATTACTCTCGGATTAACCGTAGCCCAGTTATGCTCATTTTTCCTATTAAACACTCCTGAAATTGAAAATGAACACTCATCCGTGAATAAAGAATTCTTAGTAAAATTTTCATCGCGATTATGTCTTTCAATTATTTCATGACAAAATCGTAAACGATTTGGATGATCTTGAGGAAACAAATAATTCACTGGCATTACTTTGTATGGCTTCATATGATGCTTCTTCAAAACTCGTCCCACACTTGTCGTGGATATATTGAAGTAATTTGCAGCCACTCTTGTCGAACGACTAGGGTCTTCAATGAAATAAAGTAATATATTTTCCTCTGTCTCTTCTATGAGTACCGTTTTTTGCCGATTCCTCTTCATATCACCCAAATTACCACTATCTCGTCTGAACTTTTCGAAGATCCTCTTGAAGGTATTCAATGATGGAAGTGGACGATCACCAAACCGATGCGCATATTCTCTACGAGCAGCGGTTGCATTTTTACCGCAAGAAATATATATTTCCAAAATTTCGCATCTTTCATTCAAACTGTAACCCATTTTTTTTCTATAGAAATCAAACGTTTTCAAATTCATGATAAATATGGAGCTCAAACAATTTATAAACATTATTTCAAAGCCCACTATGTTCAACTTACATTAGATGATATTACCTATGAAGTGAAGATTCATAAAGCGGTATTCTGGTCAACTTTGATCATCAATAACTCAATTATTTTCCATCCGAATATGCAACTCATATATATTTTTGGAATCAGATAAAAAGGCTCTATCGACTTGTTGGAAAATATATAGGGTGTTCCATTGAAAAAATCAAAGTTGATGTCCTTTCTGGAAAAACGAATGACCCTGTATATGAAACAACTTCACGAAATAAAAGTTTGGGTCGTTTCAAACAACTTTTTTATTCAACATTTTTTCATATCTCCGAAAACAAAAGAGTTAAGGGGGGGTTCCATTTTAAGAGGCGCACCCTGTACATGTACGCAACTTAACCTGAAAAATTGACGAACACAAATCATAGAATTGAACTGCCAGCCGAAGATGGCGCGAAATCGATTTGTTTGTTGAAACCCCCTCCTAAGCTTGTTTGTTACCAAATGGTTCCGCTGCCTGTGAACCGGAGAACTACGGGAAATTAAGAATAAACGCTTTTGAATATAATGTGATCATATGGTCACATGGTCCATGATATAGCCCATGGTTCTATCAGAAGCGGACCGATAAAGGGTTAAACACTAGTTGGTTGAATAAGTATCACAGAAAACGACTTACAGAATCTGTTTTCACATATTTACGAAATTCCGCAGTCTTGAACAGTTTACCGACCAGCGAACCAGTGCTCTCGATCATCCTCTTCAATTTCCCCACCTCCATCATACATCCAGGCTGTTTCTTCATAATGTTTATAGCCTTGTCCGCTACCATCATGTATCTCGTCTTCGAAAAGTTGAAGAACCTGCAAGGGTGTTATTAAAAGCCAAAAAATATACTTTGTATACAAGCGAAAAATGATCGCAGTGATGTTTTAGTTTTAGATTCGAAGTTAGGTCGACCTTCACCCATCTGTTTATTGGATGAAAATAATGTTACAAGTAATTCAGCATGTTGAATTTTCCAAAGAAATTGAATAGAAAGAGAGAGAAACCCAGTCATTCCACACTAGTTCATAAAATGAACGAAAAAATGGTAGATAACGAGAGATAAACAACTGCTTTCCTGGCTATATACCACGAAGAACATTAAATTACATCCTCTCGATATCTATGCGACGATTCGTAGAAACAAATAAGGTTACAAATGCTTCGTTCCTAAATGTTGAATTGTGCTTAAATTTTTCAGGAACGCATGGACGACCTGCTGACAGTTTCAAGCTTCTGACATCATCAGTGCAGGGTTGTCCCAGATAGCATTCTTGACCGCTATCTGGTGCGAACCTGACCCAACGTAAACGCATCTCAGCATTCAATACCCATGAGGCGTTCAATGTCTGCGAAATGAAAGCGAATGCCGAACGCCATCTGGCAAGGAAAGAAATACTCCAAAACAAGATCCCATTTCAGAAGAAAATTTGAGTGTCTGGTTGCCCGAGTGGCTGGTTATCTGAAAAAATTCTGGCCAGGCTATAGTTTATTGAAAATTCAAAAATATTTTTTTTAATTCCTAATGAGTCCAATGAAACAATTTTACACCAACCGTGAGTACAAAGCCTAGAGAAAGATTAGTTAAAAAAAGAATGGTATCGTTCTTAAGCAAACATGGTATCTTCAGTACTGACCTATATGGCTTTCAGACCTCAAAAAATACTAATGATGCTATATTTGCATTTCTTTAGCGTCTGTATCTTAGGTTGAATGATGGGGAGGTAGCTGCAGCAGTGTTCTATGACCTTTTAAAGGCCTTTGACTGTGTAAATCACAGAATACTGCTTCAAAAGTTACACACCTAAGGCTTCAGAGGTGTAGCATCACTCTGGTTTCAATCTTATCTGGCCCAAAGCGTCATCATCGCGAATGTGAACTCGAAGCATCTGGCTCTCAAACACGGAGTACCGCAAGGCTCTTTACTGGGACCCCTGCTATTTTTATTATATGTGAATGACCTAACACTTGTCGACATACATGGACAATTTACAATATTTGCAGACGATACGACCATCCTCTGGCATGGTACTGATAAGGTAATTTTAGAAGACATCATCAATGAGGACCTGAACATAGTTAAAAAATGGTGCGACGCCAACTTATTGTCTTTCAACACCTCTAAGACAGGTATAATCAACTTCAAAAGTGCTATCAACAATGTATTTCTTGATAATGACTGTCTTAGCATCAAAGCTACACATAAATTCTTGGGATTGAATATTTACACCAAACTAAAATTCGAATGGCACATTTTAAACTTAGCTAAAAAGCTAGCGTCTGGCTGTTATGCCGTACGAGTTACATCCAATGAATTAGGTCTAACTGCGGCAGAGAACGCTTACTACTCACTCATTGAATCGCTTCTGGGGCTGTGCGCAAACTATTTATTCGTTAGAGTTTTTATTCTCCAAAAAAGAGCACTAAGATATATGTGCAAAGCCGATTCGAGGGATTCATGTAGACCTTTATTTTTGGCTTATAGAATACTGCCACTGGCCTGCATTTTCATTAAGGAAATCGTTTGCCTAGTTAAAAAAAAAGTTTAAAGAATTCAGACATGAGTCGATCACACATAATACCCGCAGCTCTTCCCATAACATTAAACAGCCTATTCCCACGTCAACTCTTACCAAGAATTCTATAATTTATGAAGGCAAGAAGTTGTTCAATCATCTGCCCTTGCACATGAAGCAAATAGAAACTGAAAAAAAGTTTAGGAAATCGGTTAAAAAGTTTCTATTGGAAAAAGCGTGTTATAATCTCACCGAATTCTATCAGGGTACCTGATTTTATAATAACTCTACTGATTTCCAAACGTGCTTGTAAATGTCTTTAGAAACAAATTTGTGAATGTTCATACATATTTTTACTTTTATACATTTTCACCATTATACATTTTTATACAATTTTATACATTTACACACTTTTTTACATGTCTACACTTTATATTTGAATATCTGTTTTTATTTTCTATATAAGACGATGCTTTGTGAGGACGATCAATACTTTGTCAATAAGAATTTATTCTTCAGGCAATAAAGTACATTGTGATTTGATTTGATTGGAATATGCAAACATTGCGTGAATTCAGCGGTGTCCAATAGGATTTTGAAAAGACATTGAAGATGGCTGAAACTAGTTCAAAACACATTCAAACCACTTTCAGTAGTACATGGTTAAATTCCGAATAAAGAAAGCTATCTGAATCTGTGAACACATAATCAGTATTGTATTGAAACAAAGTTGATGATGGTTCTACAAATACGAAACGTCGCGTAGAAAATCAATATCACCACGTTGAATCTCAACAAAAGTCGCAAAGGAAAAGTATTTTCAGTTTTTCTGTATCTCTTATAATATCATAGAAAAAAAATTAAATAGATTTTCCAAAAATCCGCTTCTCTCAATTTTGAACTGAGAAACTAAAAACAATTTTGAAAATTCTCGAAGGTCGTTGGAATTATCTTTAGAATGTACAACTTTTCTTCTAATTGAACCGAATTCGTATTTTCTCCAGTTTCCCAGAAACCCATGCTGTGCATCTTATCTTGGAAACATTGAATAAAATAAATAGAGTGTAGTAGAAAAAATTGTAGCAGAAGAAAGAGCAGCATAAAGCTAAAACATTATCCACAGAAAAGAGAGAATTGTGGGGAAAGAAAGCAAGCAAGAAAAACATTCAATTGATTGGTTTTTGAGAGTGAAGAACGTTACAAACCTGCGCAGGTGCAGTAATTTTCCCGATTTGTTCTGGTCTGTAAGTGCAGATTTGACGTAGAAAAACTGCTTGGATATGTGCCCGTTCAAGTAAAGTTGTCTCCTATAGTGGAAGACAGACTTCGAGTCCATCTTTAAAGCGGAAGTCAAAGACATGTTGCCTTGGGTGATTTCCCCCAATTTTCTAGATCTGCCTATTCTTTCCAGGATACAATATTGGATGTTCGCCATTTCGATTTGTGGATCTGGGAATTCGCCTGAAAGGGCGAGGGTCCTCAATTGTTGCTGAGCTACGATCGCCAGTTTATTGCCGTATCTAAAGACAAAATTGAGTGTTATCAAAAGATTGGGAAGATTCCTGCTGATAGAATTAGTTTTACACTGATTGAGCTGGTAAAAATGATGAATAATAGTTATTTATGTAACAAATGTGTAAAGTGGTACTTATTTACGAGTAGGAAATGGTCCTATGAGGAAAAAAAAATCCTATGAGTAAAACAAACAGTTTACACAAGTGTTACATTCAATATTTTTCCTACAATTGTCAAAAAAGAGGACAACCTCATTCAACTTATGATGTAAATGATTAAATGATATTTCGCAATTTTCATCTAGTACATTTACTCATTGCATATCACTTTATTGATGACACTTGGTTTCTAAGAACGAAAAAGCCAGAGCCACCTTCGGCTAATTTGAATAGATCGCTCATCCCGCTAGCTTTCAGCGATACTGATCAAATCATACATGAGATGCGATCATAATAGTATCTAATACGCCATCTGCCAGTGTCACTGGCACTCTACTCCATACGAAATACGAAGTCAGCCGCCTTGATTTGTTCGCTTGCTGCCTTGCTGATTCCCGTAAAGGACACAAATGAGTAAGTAAGCGATGAATACATGTATTAAACACCGGAACAAGCCGGAACTAAAAACTAGAACATCACATATACAGACTGGTCCTTTAGTAATTGTACATAAAACTATGTCAGATATTTTACTACAAAATATCACGATTTGGGCCAAATTGCCTTAATAAAATATTGGTAATAGGGTGTCATAGTTAAGATTGTAAAATTTATTTTTCGGACATGGATACATGTCAGTTTAGAATAGAAACTAGGTAATATGGCATGAGATATACAGGGTGTCCCTGAAAGGTCTGCACAAAACCACATGTTCCTGAGCTCAAAATAAGCCGATTTGGAGTAACTTACCCCAGTCCAAAATTGCTCCATTTCCGAGATACAGGGTGGTAATGCGAAAAAATTAAAATCGAATTTTTCAAACTGTATCAACATATTCAAAAGTATCACTTCAAAAATTGTTTCTCGGTGTAGTTTTTCGCTTTCTTTTTGTTGAGGAAATGTTTTTCTGGCTATTTTCAAGCTGTGAAAATTCACTAAATTGAGCAGTTTTCGAGATATTTTGGTTTTTAGTGTTCGATGAAGCACCAGAATATTTAAATTATTTTGAATAAAAAATGCTTGTTGTTATCTTCGTAGATATAATTTGGTCAGTGAATGAGCAGTGCAAAAATGGATTTTTCAAAATTCACCACATTGTATCTCGGAAACGGAGAAATTTCGGACTGAGGTAAGCTGCTTCAAATCGACTTATTTTGAACTCAGGATTATGTGCTAAGATTTTGTACAGACCTTTCTGGGACACCCTGTATAATTTATTGCATACTCACGTTTTCTCTATGTCTTTGAGGTGCATCCCTAATACTGTTGCCGATACATCCATCCTATCATTGAAATTTGCACATGATCCTTGAACGTTTGGAACATTTACCACGCTATGGGGATAGATGTCGGGTAACTCAAATGCCTGAAATCGAATTGATCGAAAAGTCTACCATCAGTACAACTTAGCAAAGGGAATAGAATATTTAGTGCATACTATGTGCCTATTAGGTCTTAGAGAACGCCTTTTTTGTGTACCGAATACACACTACTGGTACTGGTACCCCAAGTGTTTTCAATGACTGATGTGGTTCGCTCAAGAGAGCTGGCTAACATCCTTTTCAGGCACCGCCCATCAGCTCTCTTTTCAGAGTTTTTAAGCTGTGTTTTGTAGGCTAGTAATTTACTCACTACCATAAGCGCAGTGACAGGCCTGCTAACTATCCTCGTTAACCCCCGAGACCGAGGTCTACTTAAGCAGCTGGCCCGCTCTCACGCTCAGCTGGTAGTTTTCCACACCCACCTACATACACCGTCCTACTTCTTCTCTGATGCTCACAACCACATCATCATATCTTTCTGCGTGTTCTGTGTAGGCTTTGTTACTAACTCCATGCGCCACTTTAGGAGCAGCACTGTTAATTGGAACGCAACAGCGAATCGTGCAGGACTATCCCCAGCCGATGCTCCGAAACTTTACAATATTTAATTCGTAAATAATATATAAAAAAAAAGTGCCTTGCCCATGCTGGGAATCGAACCCACGACCTTGCGGTCGTGAGACGGACGCTCTTCCACTACGCCAATCCCGACTTACCGAATACACAACTATTGCAAATTTTTATTTTAAATCCTAGATCCAAAAGATAACGAAGTTGCATATTTTTTCCGCCAAAATTTTAAAACTGCTGATTTCGCATTGACAACCATCCAAGCGCACGTAAGCAAAAGGGAATGTCACATCAGGGTAGGATTAAAATATTGTTAACATTTAAAAGTCAGAATATCGAAGTGATTTTCCTACTTCAGGAAGATGGGTATTCTGGAGGATATTCCTATAGATACTTCAGCAACTTGCAGATAGATAGAATAGAACTTATCCAAGATAGGAAACATCCTAATATTAACAATTCCAATATCATCACAACATACAGAATAACACTAACAGTTTCTTGATTAAATAATATAGAAAAATAAATATTTAGTTTTTGTAATTTTATCATAGCAAGTCTGTTTGTTTCAGGTACTCCTCAATAAATTTTTTTAACAGTCTCACATTGTTTTATGCTTTGAGGAAGAAAGTTATATTCTTCCAGCCCTTTATTAAATATTGAGTTCATACACCTACTGGTAAGCATTCTGCTTAGATGAAAATCATAAGGAGATCTCTTTTGGTAATCATGAATTTCTGCACTAAAAATAACAAACTGATCTAGATAATCAGGCAATAAACACTTCAATAGTTTGAATATAAAAATCAATGCAAAAGTTGCCAGTGTTTTATGTACAGATTGTCATTGTAAAGTTTCCAACATATTACAAATAGAGGTACGTCTGTTACATTTCAGAATTATACGCATTCCTCTGTTTTGAAGTTTCTGTAGCGATGACGGAGAGTTATTATCTAATAAATACAGTATTGTGATAATAGTGGATGATAAATGGACTCGAGCACGAGCAGTAAGTAGATTCCGAAAGTATACAGGGTATGTCAAGACGAGCTTACACTATCTCTATATCGAGAATCAGTCGGGAGAAATCCATGAAAATATACATGCTTCTATTTTAGAATACGCTCTTTTCATTCGGAAATGATTACAGAGATATAGGGTGTTCAAAATCGAGATTTTTCAACTTTGGGATTTGTTTGTGTCAAAACTATTTATTGTTGGCCGAAACGGCTCACATGTCCCTATCTCAACTTTTGATTTACTATTTACTGATATTTAATCGGAACAGATACAGGGTGATCAGAATTCTGAGCCTTGAACCACCCTGTGTCTATTCCGATTAAATATCAGTAAATAGTGAATCAAAAGTTGAGATTGGTAGTGATCAGAATTCTGAGCCTTGAACCACCCTGTATCTATTCCGATTAAATATCAGTAAATAGTGAATCAAAAGTTGAGATTGGGATATGTGAGCCGTTTTGACCGATAATGAGTTTCGACACAAAAAAATATTATATCTCTGTAATCTTTTTCGGTTATATATCGATAAAATCAGCTCTTCAGGGAGAATCTTTAAAATGCGATAACATTCAGGGTGTTCCATTTGAAATATCAATGTTGCTACTACTTTCTAGTAGAAGCTGCATTGTCGAAAATATTTTAAATGAAGAGAGCGTATTCTAATATACAAGCATGAACATTTTCATGGATTTCTCCCGACTGATTTTCGATATAAACATAGTGTAAACTCGTCGTGACATAACCTGTAGACAAATCGGATGTTGAAGCTGGAAGTATCAATTTTTTTTCATCCCCCTGTATAAGCATTCATGGTGGCTGAATCAAATCCAGTCTGACTGGTGCTTGTTGAGGTTATTGAGTTATCTCAATGGGTGTCTTGAGAGCACATACAATATCATTTTGAGTCAAATCAGATTGTTATTGGTTCCTCAAAAACTATTCGTGATACAAAAGTAACATGAAGGAAAAGAAAGTTGTCTTTTCAATTGTCAAACATGATGAAAATATAGAACTTTGAAAAAAAACAGAGGCATAACAAAACGAAAAAAACCTGGCAAATAGTAAATGACCTTAGAGGAAAGGTTCTCAGTAGACATGAAATCCCCATGTCCCCCAAAACTCTGAATGAATATTTTTGTACAGTTTCTTTGTGAGAAACTGAATTCCCATATTGATCCCCTAGACAATGTTAAACATCATAGAATTAACGAATTAACGAAACCTTTGTACTCCATGATACTGATCTTCAAAAACTGAAGCAAGTCATTTCAATGATGAGGAATAAAAGATGATCAACTCATAGTACTTGTTCACCTAATCAATCATTTCATGACGGATTACTTCCTGAACAATTAAAGACTTCAGTTATAATCCCTCCGTCCAATTGCACTTATCCCCACTATTGCAAAAATAATCGAAAAGGTGGTAAAAATAAAAATAATGCGTTTCCTATCCAAACATAATATACGCGATATTCAATTTGGATTTTAAAAAAACAATAAAAATACAACGGATGCTATTTTCAATTTATTGTATGAGGTCTACAATGAGATCAATGGTGGTGATGCTGTCGCAACGGTCTCCTGCGACTTGTCAAAAGCTTTTGACTGTGTCGACCATGGAATATTACTCTGGAAACTGCATTACTAAAGTTTCAGCGGAATCCACTATGAGTGGATTCCGTCATATTCATATAATCGTGAACAAATTGTGAAAACTAGAGGAGACATTTCATCAACACAAAAAGTATGTTGTGGGGTTCCTCAATGGTCTGTTCTTGGCCCATTTCTTTTTTTTATATACGTGTATGATATGACCAATATCAATATCTCGGGTTAGTTCACATTATTTGCAGACGATACGACTATCATATGGCATAGCGAAAATAGTACTGAATTGAATAACATTATAAAGGAAGATAAAATTGAAATTACAGAGTGGTGCGAATCTAGTAAACTCTCGTTCAATATTGAAACAGATCTGATAACAATCAAATGTGCTCTTCAAAATTTGACACTTGCTTCTGGGAACATTGAGAATAAAAACTGTATAAAATGCTTAGAAATCCATATTGACTGTAAATTAAAACTCGAAGATCATGTTTTGTTATTGAGAGAAAAAATATTCTCAGGATGTTATGCAGTGGAGCTAATCTCACAACAATTGGATTACACAGCGGCTAAGATGGTGTACCACTCTCTCATTGAGTCACATCTACGATACGGTATTGCGTTCTGGGGAAGTTGTAACGATAATCTATTGAAAAGTTTACTTACTTGTCCTACAGGAACGAGCTATACGTTACATGTGTGGTGCAAAAACTCGCGAGCCTTGCAAACCCCTTTTCAAATCACGAAAAATACTGACAGTTATATCCTTAATTATATAAGAAACTGCCTCATTAATCAAAAAACATATTCATAGATTCAGTCTCCATTCATTACATAACAATACAAGACATAATAGAGATATCAATCTCATACTCCCCTCACCTACTCTCATTAAAATTCAATCATTTATAATGGTGGCAAAATTTAGAATCATCTTCCTAATGGATATTGGACCATCCAAAGCATTCAGGAAAGCTGTGAAGTATTTATTATCAGATAGACCCCACTATTGTTTGGATGAATATTTTACCGATTCACTGAATATGTGATATAATTATTATACATTTCCTTAAAATATGATCTTATTTTAATTTATTTATGTATGAAGATGTTTGTCAAGTTGTACTATATTGTTTGTATTATTGTTAGTGTAACATTATTTTAATATTTCACTATTTTATATTGACTTTAGGTACCTACTGTCGATCTACATGCTTTAGGCGTTTTCGGAAACTTACTCGTGTTGTTCGGATCCCTAACCTGAGCGTTCGGTTACCCAAACCAAGTTACCTACCTCTGTTCGGAAACTTGAATGATGCTAACTCGATCACTGACTCGGGTTGATTTTTCGTGACCCTACTCAAAAGCAGGGTCGCCAGAGTTGCAAAGGACACCGCATGCGCATTACGGAATTTAAGTCAATAACAAAACGCGGGAGTTTACATTCGACGATAACAATAAAAATAAAATAATTTGCATGTTGGGAAAAATCACGACTGGTGATATACATGTTATTTTCAATCTTCATAATTTGATTATAGTAATTCATTGAAACGAGAATTTGGGTAGGGGTGAAGTTTGTGGTTATGTGCAACAACACATATGAGACAAGTACATCAATCCACAGGTAAATATAAATATTTGTAATCAGATCAAATAATTGATTGAATATAATGTTACCATTTTCGTCTGTCAGATTCATGAAACCACAAAAAAATATATTCAGTGTTCCTAACCTGACACGTTCGTAAACGTTGAACACGAGTAGATGATCCGAGTTTTCTGGCTCGTGACCTATCTGGATCGAGTTATCAACCCAGAGTAAGTTTCCGAAAACGCCTTTTGTAACCATGATGTATTTCATGTAACAATAAAGTATAATTATCTCTCTTATTCACCATAAATATCGATGAGATAACTCACTGCAAAGCCACTGGAATTATCATTTTGAATCTAATTGCACCAAAAGAAGCTCTCAATTAATATCAAAAAAATCACCAAGTTTCATTGAGATTGAGAAAAACGATTTTTTTATGGAAACATTGGTACCCTGTATCTCGAGAACAAAGCAAGATATGACAAATATTCATATGAACTTTATTCACTAAGATATGACAAGGAGTTGGTACTACCTGAATTTTTTCACACCCTTTATTATTGATGATGAGAAAAGAAAAATTTCTGAAATGATAGAAACAAAATATAATAAATACATACCAATTCCATTACTACTCCAATGTCCCAGTTATAAAAATTCAGGCGGTCATAAATTTCTAGTTCCCTTCTGGGATCAGGAAGCTCATAGAAATGCAGGTCCTCGTGCTTGCTCATTATTATTTTCCAAATGTTTTCCTTCATGAAACCGCTTATCGACGAAACTCCTTCTAACACTACTAATAATCTGGTCCAGAAAGCTGTTGACATGAGAAAAAATGCATACTGCGTATGTCTCAAATTTGGGCTCGAATTTCAAGAAGTACTATCGTGAGTTTTCAAAGAAGTCATTTGGAATCACTTAAAACATACTTGTATAGATTGTCATCATTCTTAATAAAATGAAAGGTATTTTAAAAAAATTAATATTTTTTTTTAGCATATGGATATGTAGCACGCTAAATGATCAATTATTAATCACGGTCCACGAAAAAACGTTACCGTGGCAACAAAATTTCTCAAACTATGGCAACACAGTTTTTTTAACACACCTTCAGTCGTTTGAGTCCTGTCCAGCCTGTCAACTATAGGAATTGTCAACTTTCATTTTCGAATTTTGTTTCAGTTTGGGATCGGTGACAATCATAATTATTCAAACAATTTCTGTTTGTATCAGAATTCTTCATTAAAAATGTATGAGAAATGCAGACGGAAGTGAAATCAAAGAAACTGTTTTAGGTGCTTGCATATTTCCAAGGACTCTGTGTAAAAATAAATCTCTCATCTTTGTGGGCAATTTATTCTTTGCTAAAGCATGATAATATATTAACGTAAGAACATTTATATAAGCAGAAATTATGCAATCAGAATATGGATACAACCTAAGAAATCAAAAACTTTGATACCTCAGTGAGTTGAAGAGTTTTCATCTTCTACGTCAGACAAAATCTTCTTATTCACAAAGGTTAGTAAAATTCATGTATCCTATGGACTGGACAAATCTACAACCAATATCACTTATACGTGCCTCGTTCGTTACATGCAATTGCATATTATTATCTTCTCAATTCCCATTCCCTTCGAATTAATTTGTGGCTTATGGGATCTTGTAGAAGAGAGGAATTTTGAGGTTGTAGATAAATTATAGTATGTAACGCGTTTATAAACTCTTCTAGAATTTTTTTTAAGAAATACTCGCTCCGCTCGTGCTCAGAATACTCGTTACTAAAAAGACGTTTATAAAACTTGTTACATAATATACAATTTTTTTAACTTGTTTTGGAATGATGAAAAAAGCGGTACAGAAATGTTTCAAGTTTTCAAGTTATATGTACTGAATGAAAATTCATAATTCGCGGTCGCCAAGGTCAGTAGATGACGCCGCGATGACATTACAAACTACGGGAAAACATGTCTAACTCCCAATCTATGCCAGGAGTTAGTATGTTTTCCCTAGGGTAATTATACAGTGCTTTTCTTTAATTTCCTCCCCCCCTCCTTCTATTTTTTGAACGGGTCGACTGAAAAAATTGAAACTTGAGATGATGAAATTGATGCATGAATACTATATTTTGAAGTAAAATTGACCGATAAAAATTTCAAGATGGCGACTAGGCGCCAATTGGGGAAAAATTTGAATAAAAAAGGGGGTCTTGTGACACCTCTTTTTGAAGCTCCTGACGAATACTTCACAACCATAGAATATGAAGTCAATATCTCCACCTACTACAAACTGGCGGAATATTTTATAGTGGCCTGAATACAAACACATCAATATGGATATTGTATTACAACAAGATGGAGCACCACCACATTACTCTAGACAAGTAAGAAACATTTGGATAATGCTTTTTTCGGTCGTTGGTTTGCCCGTCGGGGTCTTACGGAATGGCCAGCCCACTCGCCAGATTTGAAACCTTTAGACGTTTTTTAAGGGTCTATTCGAAGCAAAATGTGTAAGAAAGTACACTTGCTTCAATATTATATATACGACAGAGAAAGATGAATATTTGTAACAATAAGTGTTTGGGATCACACGTTAAAAGGTAAGGCCTCCGTCATTCCTTGCTCGCACAAGACTGTCGAAGACTTCTGAGGGTTGCTCGTAAGGAGCAGCAGAATGACGGATAGAACAATTTTAGAACAATATCGACTCTTAACTGTGTTCGGCGTAAAATATTGGATAGGCTGTTCTTATGTCAATAAGTTCAAGGCAACCATTTCTAGCATCTTCTGAACTTAACTCAGCTTATTTGCTCAAATTATGAAGTAAACGTCATTCTGTAGTATGTGAAGATATTGACTTCATATTCTTCGGTTGTGAAGTATTCGTCAGGAGCTTCAAAAGGATCTATCACAAGACCCCCCTTTCCATTTATTTTTTTCCCAAATGGCGCCCAGTCGCCAGCTTGAACTTTTCATCTGTCAATTTCACTCCAAAATATAGTATCCATGCATCAATTTCATAACTCCAAGTTTCTCAGTAGACCCGTTCAAAAATAAAAGGGGGGGGCATTAAAGAAAAGCACCGTATATCTATAGGGACAGGGTTACCGCATAAACGAGCTTTATGACTGCGCGGGGTACATGGGTGAGGTGAGGTAAGAATTCTTATGATTTCGTGTTGTTTTTATGGGTTTTGGATAACAAATTCATGAGTTTTCAAAAATGACTTGTAGTGAAGGCTGAAGGGATGATGATTGCAGAATTGGCTATATCAGTGCTCACTCATTTCCTGAAATCATACATATCAGAAAATTTTCTGAAAAAAAAGTTATAGAATTGTTAATTATTCTCACAATTTGAAAATGTATGTATTAAATATTCATAATGATTTTGTGTGATTCTATATTTTCTTCCGATTTCTACAAGTGGGTAGTTTGGTCGTTAGAACTGCAATACATATTTTTGTCTGATAGTTCAAGCTTGAAAATGAACAAAAGCTCACTATACTATACACTCTGGTGGATCTATGAAGCATTATGCCAGTGACAAGTTCAGAAAAACGCAAATTGTGTATACAGAGGAGTGCAAAAAAAACGGCTAGAGCTGTAACTTCTGAATTATTCGGGATCGAAATTTGAAATTTGGTAAGTAGCAACTATACCATATTGTTCATTTATTGACGAAAAAAAAATCATTCCATCACTTCCGGTCTATCCGGAAGTGACCCCAACTTTTGATTTTCAAATGGAACCCCCTGTATATTTTTCCATTTTTAGATTCAGGGTATCATTTTACATACCTACACCAGTAGTTTTTTCGGATCATTTTGTGTGAAACAGAAATAACAACAAAATGAACTCCACATCAATCTTTATTATTTTCAGTAGCATAGAAAGAGGGGCGATAAAAAATTAATTACAACAAATGCCCAAAGTCACCCCCATTTTGTGCAATGCATTGCTGACACCTTCTAGCTACACAAAAAGTTGCGTTGTGTAAAAATGCTTGGGGTATATTGCGGCAAGCCTCTAATATTCGATGCCCAAGGATTTTCTTTCTATTTTCTCTGGCTGAAATAGATAAACTTGATCCTTCAAGTAACCCCAAAGGAAGAAATCCATGACTGTCAAATCTGGACTACGAGCTGGCCACCGTATCGGTCCATTTGTTCCTATACACCTTTTTCCAGAGTGTTACTATCACATTGAAATTGACTTACAAGGCTACCTAGATCTTGATTACTATTACCAATTAATGGGCAATGTTTGAAGATAAAAACGAATTAAAGAAAAATCCTCTTGATATTTGATCCGGAAAAACTACTGGTGTATGTAAAATGATACCCTGAAAATAATGGGAAAATATACAGGGGGTTCCATTAGAAACTAAAAGTTGGGGTCACTTCCGGTTAGACCAGAAGTGATGGAATATTTTTTTTCTCGTCAATAAATGAACAATATGGTATAGTTGCTACCCACCAAATTTCAAATTTCGATCTCGAATGATTCGGAAGTTAAAGCTCTAGCCGTTTTTTGTGCACACCTCTGTATAAGGATAAGAAATTGGCACCTATAATGGTATGCACTGCTTGAGTTTAGCCAGTTAAAGAGTACTTTTTTTACCTTTAATAACAAAGTGTCGTACTTATGACTTGAAACGCCTGCTAATGTGTACTATGAACTGTTTTTTAACAACAATTTCATGTTTCAGTTCATCATTCGGTGTTCCAATCAAAATCTGTCATCTTTTTCAAAATTTCATGTATATTTTTCGGAAACTCTAACCCTAACGTATTGGCATCTGTGATCTGTTCAAATAATATAATAGGCCGGTTCATTTGTGTTGCTGAAGTTGACTTTTTCCCTATAGATGTATATCGATATATAACACAGTATACAGGGTTTTCCTTAAAGACATGCTAATATTTGAGGGAGTGATCCTTTGACTCATTTTAAGAAGAAAACTTCATATGAACATATGTCCTAAAAGCCTTAACTTTTGAGATACAGGGTGATGAAGTTTTGAAAAATATTCAGTTTCTTGATAATAACTCAGACAATATTGTATACATCTTCATGAAATTTGGTACACGTCTTCTATGCATCAAGGTGCATTTCATGATATAGACAAATTTTCATTTTCTCTACAAGTGGCACCGTTACGGACATTTTATTGTTTATACAGGGTGTTTCACAGGTAAAGGGAAATATTTCAATGGTAGATAGGGGTCACCAAGGTGGTTCTGAAAATACCATATTTGATAGGTCTTAGAGTTTTCATAACGAAGATACAGGGCGATTTATCGATTTCGAATAATTATTCATTCGCCTATAAGTATTGAACTACCCAGTATATTTTTCTAAAATTTGGTATGGATCTTGAACTTGAGACGTTGAATTCATTCACCTATCGGGCGGAGAGAGAATCCAGGTTCGGCTTCAGAAAAAATTCACATTTATTCGAAATATTGAAATAACACACTGTATATAATAATTGACAGAGTTCCTCAAAAGAATCGTAAAGAGGAGGAAAAACTGAACTGGATTTGATGCTTTTTGTTTTCCCGCCACCAATTCTCATCGTAACAATCATAAACAGAAAGCTGAAAGTATGTCAATTTGATGAGTATTGAAATTATGAAACCACTTTCAATTATAATTATTAGATATATTTTAGTCAAAAAATCGCTCGAAGGAACTTACTAAGTCTCACAGTTTCTTTAACGGAGATACAGGGTGAATTATTCGGTTTTGAATAATTATTCACTCGTCCATAAGTATAAAACTACCGAGTAACATTTTCTCAAATATGGTTTGTAGCTTACTTGGGACGATGGATTCATTAACCTATCAGGCGGAATTATAATTCGATAATTCACCCTGTATCTCTGTTATAAAGACTATGGGACTTTTCCTGAAGCTGAACCTGTATTTCCATTCTACCTGAAAGGTCAATGAATCCATCGTCCCAAGTAAGCACAATACCAAATTTGAGAAAATATTACTGCGATGGGTAGTTTAAGACTGTGAGACTAAGTAAGTTCTTTCGAACGATCATTTAACAAGAATATATCAGATAATCATAATTGAAAGTGGTTTCATAATTTTAATACTCTTGAAATTGACATACTTTTAGCTTCCTGTTTATGATTGTTACGATGAGAATTGAAGGCGGGAAAACAAAAAGCATCAAATCCAGTTCAGTTTTTCCTCCTCTTCACGATTCCTTTGATGAACTTTATCAATTATTACATACAGTGTGTTATTTTAATATTTCGAATAAATGTAAATTTTTCCTGAAGCCGAACCTGGATTTTCACTTCGCCCGATAGGTGAATGCATTCAACGTACCAAGTTTAAGCTCCATACCAAATTTTAGAGAAATATACTGGGTATTTCAATACTTATAGACGAATGAATAATTATTCGAAATCGATAAATCGCCCTGTATCTCCGTTATGAAAACTCTAAGACCTATCAAATATGGTATTTTCAGAACCACCTTGGTGACCCCTATATACCATTGAAATATTTCCCTTTACCTGTGAAACACCCTGTATTTTACTTAAAAGTGAGCAAGGACGGAAAATTCTCAAATTTTGCTATGAAAGGCAATTCAACTATGTACAACTTGATACTCGATAGAACACTTTGTTTCAGAGAAAAAAAGGAAAAACGAGACCAGACTTCAAATTTTGATTTCTGAGTACTCAATTCAGGACATCCATTACTGGATAACCACAGTATGTAACACTTTCATAATTTTCATAATTAATGTTATAAATTTTCAACTCAGAACTCTGAGAAATACCTTGAATTTAAATCAATTGTGCAGTCTCTACTTTGCTCAAGTGGACTCACGTATCCGATATGGTATATGTTTCTGGGGGTCATCTACATCAGCAAAGGATATTTTTCTGGCTCAAAAAAAGGCTTTAAGAAGTATGATGGGCATTCAGAGAATGGATTCCTGCAAGCCTTTTTTCATAAGGTTGAAGATATTAACGCTGCCCTGCCTCCTTATATTTGAATTATGTATCTATGTATTTGTTAACAAGCAACTGTTTGCTCGCAACAGTGATAAACATGATGTGAATACTCGCTCGAGGAACGAATTCTATATTCAACCAAGCAGAACAAATATTTTGAGTAATACACCAAATATCCTGGGTCCTAGGATATTCAATAACTTACCTGAATATTTGAAAAACGCAAAAAAAGTATCTTCTTAAAAAAAATGCTTGAAATCATTTCTCACAGGAAAGTGTTTCTACTCACTTAACGAATATTTTCATAAATGACCATGTTTCTCTCTTTTATATAATGTTCGTCTATCATATTATGTAATCAGTCATTCATCTAGTTTTAGATTTATATACTTGTAACAACCTGACTATTCCTATACTTTTTTAGAAAGTCTAAAGGAAAATAAAGATATTTATATTTATATTCACCCTGTATCTCAAAAGTTAGGACATATAGGATATGTTCATTTATGAAGTTTAATTCTTGAAATGGGTCGAATAATGGGCCCCTTGAATATTAGCATATCATCCAGGGACACCCTATATAATAACCCTGGTTTTCCTGAAGTTTTGAATGTCATCGCAACATCATATTATGACCTTGGCGAACGCAGATAGCAAAAAGAAAACGTACACAGAATATGTTTTCAGGCGGTTATAAATTTCTAGTTCCCCTCTGGGAACAGCAAGCTCATAGAAATTATGATGCCAATATCTTCTTTCATAAATCCGCTTATTGATGAAACTCCTTCTAGCACTAGAGGTACTAATAATCTTGTTCAGCAAGCTGTTGACATGAGCATAAGTACAAAAGTAAATCAAATATAACATACAGGGTGGCCCACGGTCGTTGGTACCTTAGACGTATTCGGAAAACGGTACATTGGAGTATCCTGAAAATTTGGTTACTCTAATAAGCGTTTGTGATCTAACGATTCAAAATATTTTCAGCGATGCAGCGTTGCCACTTTTACCAAAAAGTAGCATCATCTTTGTTATTTCAAATGGAACACCCTGTATTTCATTGCGTTTTTAGATTTTTCTCGAAGAGCTGATTTCATCAATGCATCACACTTGGAGTCTAGCAGGAATTATTACAGAGATATAGGGTGTTCAAAATCGAGATTTTTCAATTTCAGGAATTTTTTCTGTCGAAACTATTCATTATCGATCAAAGCGGCTTACATGTCCCTATCTTAACTTTTGATTCACTATCTACTGACATTTAATTGGAACAGATACAGGGTGATCAAAATTCTGAATCTTGGACCACCCTGTATTTTTTTCCAATTAAATGTCGGTAGATAGTTAATCAAAAGTTAAAATAGGGACATGTAAGCCATTTTGACCAATGATGAATAGTTTCGACACCAAAAAATCCTAAAGTTGAAAAATCTCGATTTTGAACACCCTATATCTCTGTGATAATTCCTGCAAGACCCCAAGTGTGACATTAATGAAATCAGCTCTTCGAGAAGAATCTAAAAACGCAATAAAATACAGGGTGTTCTATTTGAAATAACAAAGATGATGCAACTTTTTGGTAAAAGTGGCAACGCTGCTTCGCTGAAAATATTTTGTATCGTTAAATCACAAACGCTTATTAGAGTAATCAAATTTTCAGGATAATCCAATGTACCGTTTTCCGTATATGTCTAAGGTACCATCGACCGTGGGCCACCCTGTATAGTGTGTCTCGAATTTGAGCTCTTTCAAGAAGTTCTATTTTGGATATACACAAAATCCAACAGAGAATTGTCATTGGGAATCACTTGCAACATACTCATATCGATTTTCATCATCCCTAATGGAATGAAATATATGTTCTAAAACAGTCAATAATTTTTTTGCAACCCTATATTTTAGAATATTATGAAATTCGGTGCAGATATAGTCATAGTAATTCTCAATAAAAATCAGTTGTCAGTTCTCTGTTAACAAAAATACTGAGCTAAAATCCTGTTTTCTTTAAGGTGGACATGGAGGTGGACACACTGTATGTTGCCAAATTATCTGAGTGAACAGAGGTGAACAGTTGATTTAGCTACAGAGAAAACATTAATTAACAATGGAATAGCAAAAAGAAAATTTACAGAATATGTTTTGAATGATTTTGTATTTTCCATTATTTCTGATATAAAATATGACATGTATATTATACCTCATAAGTGACAGGTATCAGGTGAGGTATTATGTACTATATGTACCTTGTTGTAAAGAGTAATATTCACTAATAAAAAGTATTCAATAGATAATTAATGTTGCTCTCTGTTTAAGATATTTTATTTATAACTGAAGAATCCACAATCCAATTTTGGAGAATTAAAATATATGTAGAAATAAAAATTAATTGAAAAATTTTTACAGATGAATTCTAGAGAAAATAGATACTTTAGTAATATCCAAGGTAATATGTAAATCAATTTAGTTTATATTTTATATTGTATTATGAAGTAGTTACTTGATTCAAATCTGAATGGGAATATAGAGGGGAATAATTTATTTTCAGATTCTTCAACGAATTCAGTTGAGTTCAAAAGTATTAAAGATACACAAAAATATTGGAAAGTCCATATAATTTTAATTTGGTAATTGAGTCTAATAATAGAAACTTCTGAAACTTCCAATCAGACCAGAAAAAATATGGAAATGGAAATATGGAAATGTGTCAGAGTAAAAACAAAGAATGTATTCTGAGTAGTTATTATGGGTAAGTAATTTAGAAGTGTTAATATGTATTTTAGTATTTGTGTCTCTGAACTTGTCAGTTTGAATATGTATTTCTTGTATTTTTTGTATTTTGTTCCTGGACCAGCACTTGCTTGCTGATTAGGAAACAACTTTTGTTAGAATAATTCTAAAATGTTTTTTTATTGTATCCTTTGAATAAAAAGTACTAAAAAAAGAATAACTTCTAGAAACTCTCCATTATAATAGTAGATCTGAAATTATTCATAAAAGGTGCACTGTATGTTGACCCCTTCCTACAACTTCAACTATAGGAGGTAGAAAAAAAAAACAGAAGAGAAAGATCTTTCACTTGAATTGGGAATATACAGGATGTTTCATTGAAAAAACTGATTTGGACTCTTTTTTATCATTTTGCTATTCACATAGGTTTGTTTAAGGAGTGCCAAAAGATAGTACAGATGAAATCCTACAACTCTTATATTTGAAATGTTTTCCTTCTCCTATAATTGAAGCTGCAGGTAGGGGTCAAAATATTAGGAGAACCCCATACATAAACACCATAAACATCACACAACCTTGTGTAACCTGTGAGATAACCTGTATGCAATGAATGTTTCGAGGCCTATCTATAAAGAAGATTAAAGTAGTCAAATAGACAATATTGAAGTGATTCAGACAAATGGCAGGTATTAGGAAGCAAGTTAATAAGTTGTGAAAACGTTGAACATTATATTCAACATAATAAGTAGTTTTTGATAAACTCCAAGCAAAAAAAACAGTGAATTTTTTACCCTCAATAGTAATTCCATCCAATCCTTCCAAGCAAATTTCATCCATTATGTGAAAATATAAATCTTTAAAAATGAAGTTTCCATGACTATTCTTTAGTTCATCATCCAGAAACAGATCACAACTGTTGTCTTCTATTTTCAAGTAAACATAATCTGAAGTAGAGCACTTTTCTCCATATATTTTATTGACAACAATTTCATTTCCCTTCATTTCATCTTGTATTTCGGTTTGGACAATGTCCAGAGATTCTGGTAATATATCTGTGGACAATCTCTGCAACTTGTTGGGCAAATGAGAATCATCATCATTTATGCCTGAAATTTTTCTCTTTTTTGGATTTGTATCATCATTTTTACTGGTACTAGATTGTGATGCTGAAAACTTATCTCTTTTCACAGGCTTCCTCAGTATACGGTGGCTCACATCTGAAAATTTGGTTTCCAACACCTTTCCCATATTGGTACTTTCATCAGTGTTTTCATAAATGAAATAATGAGTAGATAAATATTAGGAAAACTTTCAAAAAATTCGAATTCTTGTCTAGTGTCTAGTCAAAATTATTTAAAATGAACTTTTAGGTTAAGAATAATATTATTATTATTTCTCTTCTTCTTCTTTTCTTATAGCCCGTGTGAAATTCCTATGACTACTAAAGGAATTCAATTTTACCTTAGACACGTACAGATCAATCAGAACAATTCTGGCCCTTTGGCCATAGCGGTAAATTTAAATGATTCAAATAGGTCGCATGCTTTTCTGTGACTTTTCTGTATGCAAAAATTGAATCGACCCTGATCAGACGAATTTACAGTGAAGACTCAAAAGTCTCCCCCTTTTTAACTCACAGTTTGACTTCTGAGCGGAACGATAGCTATAGCGAGGCAGGGTAAAATTTAGGTAAAAAGGTACCTCTTTTTATACTACTTTTTGGTATCAACTTTTTTTTTCAAATGTAAACGGTGTAGGTACCTATCTTTTCACATCAATTTTACTCGACCTCACTATAACTTGTTCCCTTCAAAATAAGTGAAGGGAAGGGGGGAAGGACTTTTTACGTCCTCACTGTATTATTATTCTGAACTGTTTTCAAAGTATAACTCAATTTATACGATATATGTAGGTATATAAAGATATAGATGGGGTAAAAAATTGCCGGCATATAAGATTTTCGATGTGTATATATAGAAGAAAGTTACAATAACATATTATGGAGTAGCCAATCAACCAGCACAAAACATAGCAGACTACGTACTTTTTCCTACGACTGCTAATGTAAGTGACGAATATTGATGTAATGATAATATTTTTAGAAAATGATTATTTGAATTTTTGCTGTTGATATATTTCTCAATTTCAGATGAAAAATGTCAAGCAATGACGATGAGTTTATTTCTACACCACTAGAAATTCTGAAAAGAGCAAAAATGGCAACAGATGATAGTTGTCCCGCGAAAAATACGAAAAATCGCTTACAAAACTTGGACTTGACAATAACTTTGCTTCGTTAGTGGGAATGGAAGATTTTCTGAACAATAACGAAACAGCATAAAAGCTGACGTCACCATTTATTCGATGTATCGCCAAATGGTGGCCATGATGGTACGTTTGAAATGATCTCAGAAATTCAACAATTTCGAACAACGCATATACACTCATTATTTATATGAAAAAAGTGTAAGAAAAGTTGTAAAAATGAATTTAGGTCCCTAACGACACAGTAGAGTAATTGAATGCCAATAATTCATTACAAGTACACTCGCCCATTGCAAGATAATCAATGAACTGAGCTGGGAATTTAATTATTCGTCTCTTGTAACTGATACGAATTCTATTTTCACCACCTACAAATCGACCGCACGCGTTGTGATAAAATAATAGACTGATGAGGAGTATAAGTGGCTTGATCAACTATCGTGTGATGATCAATTGGTTACATGATCCTTCTAACCAGTCAATAATCAATCAAGTATATATCGCCTATGACTTGTATCATGATCTTGAAGGTATATACTTACCGTAAGATGTATACGGGGTGGGGGGGGGGGTCGAAAAGATATTTGATTATCTGATGAGTTTATTATGTGCGAATCAAAACGATACTCTTTCTGATGGCATGTGAAAAAATGGTAGAGGAATTAATAATACCTGTCCCGAAAGGTTCACATGAGTATATTGAGAAAGAAATATTTACAAACATATGACTATAAGGAGAATGTATACCTACCTAGTTATCTAATCGATTCAATAAAATAATACGTGATCAAAATGTAATAGAAAAATTATAAAACGATGAATGTAACAAAGTTTATAAAACAAAAAACCACTGAGCTGCTCAACGTATAGAAGGTGCCATGAAGATAGTATCAGCAATTAGCAATTGCAAGTTTTTCCCCGTTTCTGACCGTCCGAATCTCTCAACGAAAACTGATCCGATGCCTTTTTGGAATCGTTATTCAGCAGAGCATCGTACGCCAAAATTTTCTCGACCAACGACCTCGCCGCTTCGTCTATGTTTATGTTGTCTTTCGCCGAGGTTTCGTACCAAGCGTGGAAACCGCTCTCCTTGCAGTATTCATCCATCTTTTCGGGGTTCGTAACGATACCTTCAACATAAATTGAATAATTAATCAATGAATAAAGAATCCATGAAACTATGAAACGATGAAATGATGAAACGATGGAACGATGCACCAATGAATCAATGAATCGATGAATCAGGAAAAAATCGGGATATAATAAATCAGAAATCTGAAAATCTGAAAAAAATCAGAGGATCGAAGTATGAAAAATCCAAAAATTAATGAACACAGAAAACCAGAAAATCCAAAAGTAGAAAATCAAACTTTCAAAAATCAAAATAATCATAAAATCTTCAATAGTTCTTGGTTTCCTGACTTGCGGTGTCAATTTCATCAGACCAGGTGGTATTCAAAAAATCACAAAATCGAAAAATGAAAAAATCACAAAATCTAAGAATAAAAAAATCAAGTGATCAAATAATCAATTAATAAGTTATCAAAGAATGAAAGGATGAAAAAAAATCAAGAAATTGTCTATCAAGAATTCGAAAAATCAGATAATCATATCTAAATTTAAGAATTGAAGAATCAATGTGATAAAAAATCAAAAATCAATAAATTAAAAATTCGGATATTCAAAAATTCAAGAAATTAGAAATCGAAATATCTGAAATGAAGAATTAAAAATCAAATACTAAAAAATTTTGAAAATCCAAAAATTAAAGAATTTGAAAATCAAAAAATTTTATAAATCCATAGATAAAAGAATCAAAAAATCGGAAAATCAGAAAAATCACAAATCCGAAATTCAAAGAATCAGAAAATCAAGAAAGGAAAAAAAAAAAGAAAACAAACAGAATATCAAGAGAATTGAATATCTAAAAATCCTAAAATCAAGATATTGAATATTCAAAAAATAAAAAAAGCAATGAATTGAAAAATTCATGAATCAAAAAATAAAAAAATCAAAAAATGAAAAAATCAAAAAATCAAAAAATCAAAAAATAAAAAAAAAATTCAAAAAATCAAAAAAATCAAAAAATCAAAAAATCAAAAAATCAAAAAATCAAAAAATCAAAAAATCAAAAAATCGAAAAATCGAAAAATCGAAAAATCGAAAAATCGAAAAATCGAAAAATCGAAAAATCGAAAAATCGAAAAATCGAAAAATCGAAAAATCGAAAAATCGAAAAATCGAAATATCGAAAAATCAAAAAATTTAAAAATCGAAAAATCAAGAAATCAAGAAATCAAGAAATCAAGAAATCAAGAAATCAAGAAATCAAGAAATCAAGAAATCAAGAAATCAAGAAATCAAGAAATCAAGAAATCAAGAAATCAAGAAATCAAGAAATCAAGAAATCAAGAAATCAAGAAATCAAGAAATCAAGAAATCAAGAAATCAAGAAATCAAGAAATCAAGAAATCAAGAAATCAAGAAATCAAGAAATCAAGAAATCAAGAAATCAAGAAATCAAGAAATCAAGAAATCAAGAAATCAAGAAATCAAGAAATCAAGAAATCAAGAAATCAAGAAATCAAGAAATCAAGAAATCAAGAAATCAAGAAATCAAGAAATCAAGAAATCAAGAAATCAAGAAATCAAGAAATCAAGAAATCAAGAAATCAAGAAATCAAGAAATCAAGAAATCAAGAAATCAAGAAATCAAGAAATCAAGAAATCAAGAAATCAAGAAATCAAGAAATCAAGAAATCAAGAAATCAAGAAATCAAGAAATCAAGAAATCAAGAAATCAAGAAATCAAGAAATCAAGAAATCAAGAAATCAAGAAATCAAGAAATCAAGAAATCAAGAAATCAAGAAATCAAGAAATCAAGAAATCAAGAAATCAAGAAATCAAAAAATCAAGAAATCAAGAAATCAAGAAATCAAGAAATCAAGAAATCAAGAAATCAAGAAATCAAGAAATCAAGAAATCAAGAAATCAAGAAATCAAGAAATCAAGAAATCAAGAAATCAAGAAATCAAGAAATCAAGAAATCAAGAAATCAAGAAATCAAGAAATCAAGAAATCAAGAAATCAAGAAATCAAGAAATCATGAAATCATGAAATCAAAAAATCAAGAAATCAAAAAATCGAAAAATCAATGAATCAAAAAATCAAAAAATCAAAGATCATACATACCCTAGATAGTCAACGCCTGTATAAAAATTGGCAACGCTCCGATGGGAACTAACAGACCGGCGGCTAATCGGCTGTGCTATTCGTTATAATGAATAGATGCGCACAGCGGATTATCACCGCCCTGTTCGTTCCCAATTTAGCGTTGCCCATTCTTACATTTACGGTGCTTATCTAGGGTATGTATGATCTTTGCAAAAATCAAAAAATCAAAAAATCAAAAAATCAAAAAATCAAAAAATCAAAAAATCAAAAAATCAAAAAATCAAAAAATCAAAAAATCAAAAAATCAAAAAATCAAAAAATCAAAAAATCAAAAAATCAAAAAATCAAAAAATCAAAAAATCAAAAAATCAAAAATCAAAGTCCAAAAATCGAAAAATCGATCGAAAAATCAAGAAAACAAAAAATCGAAAATCTATCAATCAATCGATACCTTCTTTTGGCTGATCGCACTTGTTGGCCAACAGCACGCACGGTATATTGGACCCGTCGGGCAGTTGCACCTTGCTATCCAGATCCTGCTTCCAGTTCTGCACCGAGTCGAACGTCTGCTTCCGCGTCACATCGAAAACTATGAAGGCCCCGACCGCCTCCTTGTAGTACACTCGGGTCATGTTGCCGAACCGCTCCTGGCCCGCGATATCCCACAGCTGGAGGCGGATGAGGGTGGATTCGTCCCAGTTGAGAACCTAGATCGAATCAATTTTCCATTAATTCATGTAGCATTGATTCATTTGTTCATTTTTGCATTTTTTCGTCTGTCCATTTGTTCATCTGTCCATCTATTCATTCGTTTATTCGTTTATTCGTTCATTGGTTCATTAGTTCATTAGTTCATTCGTTCATTCGTTCATTCGTTCATTCGTTCATTCGTTCATTCGTTCATTCGTTCATTCGTTCATTCGTTCATTCGTTCATTCGTTCATTCGTTCATTCGTTCATTCGTTCATTCGTTCATTCGTTCATTCGTTCATTCGTTCATTCGTTCATTCGTTCATTCGTTCATTCGTTCATTCGTTCATTCGTTCATTCGTTCATTCGTTCATTCGTTCATTCGTTCATTCGTTCATTCGTTCATTCGTTCATTCGTTCATTCGTTCATTCGTTCATTCGTTCATTCGTTCATTCGTTCATTCGTTCATTCGTTCATTCGTTCATTCGTTCATTCGTTCATTCGTTCATTCGTTCATTCGTTCATTCGTTCATTCGTTCATTCGTTCATTCGTTCATTCGTTCATTCGTTCATTCGTTCATTCGTTCATTCGTTCATTCGTTCATTCGTTCATTTGTCCATCTATCCATCTGTTTATTTGTGCATTCTTGAATTTTTCATCTGTTCATTCGTCTATCTATCCATCTGTTTATTTGTGCATTTTTGAATTTTTTTATTTGTCCATTTGTTCATCTGTCCATCTATCCATCTGTGCATCTGTGCATTTGTTCATTTGTTCATTCGTTCATTTTTCCATTTGTTTATTTGTGCATTTGCGCATTTGTCCATTTGTCCATTTGCGCATTTGTCCATTTGTCCATTTGTCCATTTGTCCATTTTTCCATTTGTTCATTTGTTCATTTGTGCATTTGTGCATTTGTTCATTTGTTCATTTGTTTATTTGTTCATTTGTTCATTTGTTCATTTGTTCATTTGTTCATTTGTTCATTTGTTCATTTGTTCATTTGTTCATTTGTTCATTTGTTCATTTGTTCATTTGTTCATTTGTTCATTTGTTCATTTGTTCATTTGTTCATTTGTTCATTTGTTCATTTGTTCATTTGTTCATTTGTTCATTTGTTCATTTGTTCATTTGTTCATTTGTTCATTTGTTCATTTGTTCATTTGTTCATTTGTTCATTTGGTCATTTGGTCATTTGTTCATTTGTTCAGTTGTTCAGTTGTTCAGTTGTTCATTTGTTCATTTATTCAATTATTCAATTAGTCATTTGTTCATTTGTTCATTTATTCAATTGGTCATTTGTTCATTTGTTCATTTGTTCATTTGTTCATTTGTTCATTTGTTCATGTGTTCATTTGTTCATTTGTTCATGTGTTCATGTGTTCATGTGTTCATGTGTTCATGTGTTCATGTGTTCATGTGTTCATGTGTTCATGTGTTCATGTGTTCATGTGTTCATGTGTTCATGTGTTCATGTGTTCATGTGTTCATTTGTTCATTTGTTCATTTGTTCATTTGTTCATTTGTTCATTTGTTCATTTGTTCATTTGTTCATTTGTTCATTTGTTCATTTGTTCATTTGTTCATTTGTTCATTTGTTCATTTGTTCATTTGTTCATTTGTTCATTTGTTCATTTGTTCATTTGTTCATTTGTTCATTTGTTCATTTGTTCATTTGTTCATTTGTTCATTTGTTCATTTGTTCATTTGTTCATTTGTTCATTTGTTCATTTGTTCATTTGTTCATTTGTTCATTTGTTCATTTGTTCATTTGTTCATTTGTTCATTTGTTCATTTGTTCATTTGTTCATTTGTTCATTTGTTCATTTGTTCATTTGTTCATTTGTTCATTTGTTCATTTGTTCATTTGTTCATTTGTTCATTTGTTCATTTGTTCATTTGTTCATTTGTTCATTTGTTCATTTGTTCATTTGTTCATTTGTTCATTTGTTCATTTGTCATGTATTATTTGTTTCGTTCGATCTCCTCCAATTCTGAGAATGTATTTCTGAGACTCATTTGGGGCGGGCTGTTTGCATCAAACTTCAATACCGTTTATATTTTTCTTTCTGTCTCATGATAAATATCAGTATAAAAGGGACTCTTCCCTGGTCTGAATCAAATAGAAGAAACATGGAAAAAACCGCCCCTTGTCTGAAAGTTGATGTTCGATGACTCGTCCCAGTTGAGGCCCTAATGGTGAATATCGATCAACGGATGGGAAATCAGATAGGTTTGGCGGTTTCTGAAATTGTTCTCCTTTCATGCGGGAGAGTATACCGGGTGGTCCATTCAAGATCATATCCACTAGGGCGGAGGGCGGAGCAATGTTTATAGGTGCGAAAAAAAAAGTTTTTATTCAAGCTCAGGCAGAGCTGGGAAAATACTCTGAGGAAAGTATTTAAATATCAGGTATTAAATACTTTCGGATATTGAAAATATCCAAATATTAAATATTTTCAAAAGGCCAAAAAGTATCTAAATAACAAATAAAAAAGTATTTGAATAGTTCACAGTAACTATTTAAATACTTTCGAAGTATTTGAGTATTTCCAAAGTATTCAAATACTCTAAAAGTATTTGAGTATTTCCAAAGTATTCAAATACTCTAAAAGTAGTTGAGTATTTCCAAAGTATTCAAAAACGCTGAAACTATTTAAAAATTTCCGAAGTATTTGAGTATTTCCGAAGTATTTGAGTATTTCCGAAGTATTTGAGTATTTCCAAAGTATTTGAGTATTCAAATCGATTCAAATATTCTCAAGGATTTGAATACATTCATGGTACTTGAGTATTTTTGACGCTTTTAATCACCTTGTGTAATGTAGATTTGGGTAATTGAGGCAGTTCCCATAGCAGAAGTAAAAAAAATAAATGATTTTTGTACTGCACTGGGAAGGCGTCAATTTGTCGAAACCCGGCATTAATAGAAAAGGATGACGTTAGTGACTCACTCACTTACTTATGTATATTGTTAAACAGAATTATCATTTATTCTTACTTGATTCAAATTCACCATTCACTATATTGGAAGTTGGATGTAGAGGCCTCTGAAATCAGCTCAGATTCTGAAAAGCTCAAATCCACAGATACTCTTGAGTGTTTTAAATACTTACACAGTATTTAAATATTTTACGAGTATTTAACTTCTGAAATAGTTAAATACTTTTGAGTATTCAAATACTCCAAAAGTATTTGAATACTTCGATCAGATATATTTAAATACACGCGAAACTATTTGCAAATACCTCGGCAAATACAAATATTTGTAAGTATAAATATAATGACCTGAACCAGAAAGTATTTAAATACTCGGTATTCAAATACCGAAAAGTATTTATAATTACTAAAAAGTATTTGTTAATACAAATTATGCTTCAGGTACCAAATTTCGTGATTCTGGGATCAATGACGTAGATAATTGAAGACAGCTGGACATACCTTCAAAGAGCTCTCTCGCCCTTAGGAAGCACATGTTCGGACAAATGTTGATAGGAATACTTTTTCTTATTTTTATCTGAAGAATTACCTCCTGGAGTATACGAACATCATTCTGAGACACCCTGTATAGAGGGTGTCCCGAGATTAGCCTGCCATATTTCAGTAGCCGATACTTCGACCAAAAATAGGAAGAAAACTTCCAATAAACATATACAGTGTGACCCATTTAAGATGGAAGCACCCTTATAAAACTTACATTTTTCAACCGATTGGAATGATTTTTTTTTCGTTAGGTAGATATTCAAAAAGTCTATTAGGACACCAAATATCATGAATAAATCTCCATTTCCATCAGGGCCAACTAATCTGATTTTTCAAGGTCAAAAATCTAAAAAAATTACTAGCGATTTTTTTAGAAAAAATCTGACTACACCACTGGATTTGTGACATTTTCAAATGGGTAACATGTAAATTACGTTGAAATGCGTCAATCAATAAAAAAGTTATAAAGGAATGAAATTTTAAAAATATGCCGTTTAATCAACCCACCAATTCATGTTCAGGAATTTTATGAAAATTCTGTATACTCCACTGGATTCAGGATGTCTTGAAATATTACTGATCACAGTTTCATCGAATTCTGTTCAGTAATAAAAATTGATGGGTTGATTAAACGGCATATTTTTCAAATTTCATTCCTTTACAACTTTTTTATTGATTGACGCATTTCAACGTAATTTACATGTTACCCATTTGAAAATGTCACAAATCCAGTGGTGTAGTCAGATTTTTTCTAAAAAAATCACTAGTAATTTTTTTAGATTTTTGACCTTGAAAAATCAGATCTATTCATGATATTTGGTTTCCTAATAGACTTTTTGAATATCTACCTAACAAAAAAAAAATCATTCCAATCGGTTGAAAAATGTAAGTTTTATAAGGGTGGTTCCATTTTAAATGGGTCACACTGTAGATATATACATAACACCAAAAAAAATCAAGAGGTGATTCCTTGTGATATTTTAGAAAATAAAGTTTTTATAAACATGTATCCTAACTTGCTTCGTTTTCGAGATACAGAGGGTATTAATATTTCCGTGGAAAATCGTTTTTTTATTTATTACTCAATTGTTTTTCCATATCAATTACAATAAAACGTTGTGGTTTTGTTAATATTAATATGGAGCTTCTTCTGGTGCAATTATGTCATTGTACGCCACCGGTTTTTCTGAGTTTCATATTGTTATTAGTTTGAACTATTGAAATAACAACTTTTCTACCCTTTGTGTGATTTTATATCTAGCTAAATTCTTGAGGAAACAATAAAAATTCGATTTAACTCCAAATTTGTATATGTATAGGCGTGTTTTCAAGACTTCCATTGAGATTATACTCAATAACCCCAACTAGAATCATTTTGAAATTTAAGGGCTTTCTCGGTCTCCAACCATACTGAATTTTGGCACAATGAAAGCTTATTATACAAGGAGGTTATAAATAAGAACAATTATACTTCCAACTTCAACATCCTGTATCTCAAAAACGGAGAAAATTAGGACACATGTTTATGTTAA